ATGATCTTCGCAATAGATAGCTATTTCCTCAACGTGTTTCTAATATTTAATTAACATTAGGCCAGGAATAATCCAGCCTACCTATCGGTTATTAAAGTTATTCCTTCAAAATGTAGTGATCTGATTTAAATCTTAAATTTAAAGGCATCAATGCATCTGACTATGGTGTGTGGTGTGGAATTGGTGTAGGCCTTCTTCTTATATATGTACTTGTATGTAATTATAAAAACCTACAATTGGGCCTACAAATATTTACTTATTTTAAGGTGCGTAAGAAATGTATTTCCAGTGGTGTAGTGGCATTTTTCACATGATAAATGAAGATCTTTAATTTAAGGTGTCACTCAATTCTTTCGGTGCACTTACCAAGTTGCTCGCATTGCGTTTGGTAGACATCCGTCTGTGAAAAATGCGGGCCGGCTCCGCTTCGATTTCCGACTCAGATGACTCATCGCCGGTGCTAATCGAAATGATCGGAATGATGGGTATGGGTGAGATGTTTCCACTGCTGCAGGCGCTGCTCCGTCCACTGCTCACACTCGACGCTGTTGCTGCCGACGCGGAGAGGCTGTTGCTGTGCGCCGCGGAGGTGCAGGTGGAGACGTGCAACGTGTCAACTTTTATGTTTGGCATTGTTTTGCACGTCAAGTTTTGTTTAACTTTACTTTTGCTTTACTTTTGTTTTTTCTCTTTGTTGTTACTGGAATTGTTGTTGTTGTTGTAAGTAGTCGGCTCAATGTCTTGGGCTTTTGTTTGCACTTAACATTTGTGAAATACTTGGGCGCACGTTTCTGTGTTTTTGTGCTGCATACTTTTAGGCTGGCGTTTGACAAAGTGCCGCCTTGAAGCAAGTTGAAGTTGTCATTGTCAGCTTTTATCTTTATTGTTGTTGTTGCTGCTGTTGCTGCTGCTTCTGTTTGTTTCTCTATAAATATTCGCACGTCTGTCAGGCTGCAGGCACATGTAGTTAGACAGAGACAGTCGCAGTGGCAGCGGCAAAGTATTGGAACAGTAGAAGATTCTTCGTATGTATAGTATTGTTTGTCGATTGCCTTCTCATAACTAATTTTCTTGTATTATTTCATTTGTATAAAAAGTTGGCTTGCTTTAGAAGTATGTGCGCTTGTGTATATATTGAAACATTTACATAAATTGTATTGAAAGTATACTTTTGTATACTTATTATATAGTATATGAGCTAAGAAGCCGCAGGTGCCGTTTTTGCATTTTTCCGCTTGAGTTTTTATAACTTTTGTCCTTTACATTCCTAGCACTTTCCATTATATTTATATATGTATATTTGTTAGTTGTTTATTGTTGTATTTGCTGTTATTGTTGGGACACAGCGACTGGCTTATGTAAAAGCACATACACACTCACACAACGAGCACTTCCTTTACACTGACAGTTCAGTTGTTGTTTTTTTTTTTTTGTGTGCGTTTGGCTACTTTTCTCTTTTATTTTGCCGACATTTCTTATTAAATTTTTACGCTATTGTTGCACAGGCTAGTCAAAGGACCCATGGCCGCCATTTTGTGCCCGGAGTTGGGTTGGGTTTTTTTATTTTTTATGCTTATTTTTATGCTTGCGCTGAAATTTTGTGGCACACAACGAGCATGAGCTTGCTCGTTGTCTAGTCATAACATTTAGCGTGAAAAATCCAATTGAAAATTGATGCTGGCGGCAACACGAGCGTATAAAATGTACACCTTTATATATTATTTATATGCTTTATTTATATATATATTTGTATATGTGTCGTACGTATGTATATTGTATTTAATGTATGTATATGTATGCATCAATAAATATAGCAAAAATATTTGTTATGTATGTTTTTGTCGTTATAAATATTTATTTAGGCAACACTAACTAATTAGCAATAGCGAGAATGTTACCCAATTCTTAATTTCCAAAAATTTGAAATGTCACTTCACGTAGAAAAAACTAAATAAACACTAGCATTATTTTATTGTACACACTAAAACACATTTATTAAGCTTAATTGAAAAGTTTCCGCTGTCCAAACGACTCAGCAGTGACCAGCGACCGAGGCTACTGTTGTATAAAAATCTACTGTAAAAGCAATGCTCTAGCAGTGCCGTACAGGCCCTTTTTTCCTTCCTAACTGCTGTTGGTGGTGCTACTTCTGAAATTGTTCTTTGGTTCGGGCTAACACAAGTCTGGCAGTCTCTGCGCTCATTGTTGAGCCGCGCGGCGAACTGTATGAGACCGCAACCCTCACTGCTGACATGAGTACGGCATAGATTTTGTTCAAGCTAACAAAGGCAGTGGCCGCTGTTGAGCGGCCAGGGTTGCCAAAGATAAACGAAAGGGATTACTAATTCGATTTAGACTCTCTGAACATAATAGGCAAGACTATTGCTATTAGAATGGAAATACAAGTACCTTTGATTGTGATGTATGTACACGTAAGAAAGTTATTTATATTGATGAAACCCCATTTATCTGCTATTTTAATTATAGTTCTGTATGCTACTGATATGTTAATATCGAATAAATATTGAAAATATGCCAACTCCGTCAAGTTCGAAATGGTAGGTAAAATGCCTTTTGGACTGAAAATTATATTAAAATAACCTGCTACAGACATGCGTAGATTTATAAAAATAAAGATAAGTTAAACCAAAAGTTATTCCAAAAAAGACAAATTTGCCTTTATTAATTATAGCATGTTTTTTTTTCAAAAACTTTGTATCAACATTTTCATTTTCGTTTTTGTTTTATTACTATAAATATTTACCAATTTAATTCAAGTCACATTTACATTTTAGTTGTATTTATGAAAATCATTTGGCAACTCTGCTCAATGCTGAGCTTGACAAAAAATATTGTGTTCGTATCCTTACCAACAAGTTTTTATGCTCTGCGCTTGTTCACAATTTTCGCACAAGAGCGAATATTGTAAGCAGCTCAGAGAGCAAACTTCTCACACATACATGCACACAGCACATTCACACACGCTCTTGTTTTAGAAACGTTCGCCCAGTCCTCGAGGCCTAAGCTTCATGCCAACAAGTCTTTTTTTCGTCGTCGAACGCGTCGCAAATGAGGCGAGCAAAACAAAGAAATGTAAAAATTGTACTAACCAAGGCGCTGAGCACACGCAAAGCCAAAAGAAGGAAGGACGCGAGAGAAAGAGGGAGAGAGAGAGAGAGGGAGAGGAACAGCGACAGAAACAGAAAGAACACAAAGGTAAAATTACAAAGGCTGTGCAAGGCGCGCTACAAGTTCGTGTTTGTTTGCTTTCCCTGCCTGTTCCGCCTAAAGCGGCGCGTTGTATGCAACAAATTTTATATTGCTTTGCCTTCCACTGCTTTTTGCCACGAGGGTCGGCAGTTCTTGATGGCGGCCTCTCTGGCTGCCTCTTTGCCTGCCTGTTCGTCCTTCTGTCTCTTAGTTTTTCGGTCTGTTGGTAGGTTGGTCTCTCTGTCAGTCAGTCTGCCGTTTTGAGCTTTTGTTGTTCATTTTTCCGGCATTGCCTTTTTCTTTGGTGCCACCATTTTCTTCTCCTTTTTGCCCCCACTGTTGTGGTTGGCTTTTTGTTGCTGTTCTCGTTTGCGGCCTAACATATCCCGGAGGGCATTACTCTTCACGCTTGGGTGCATATTTTTAAGAAGCCGCTCCATGCTTGTCTCGATGGCCTTGCGTGTATTTATTTTATTACATTTTCACGTTTCTGCCACAAACAAACACACACAGACACACAGACACACACACACACACACACACACACACACACACACACACACACACAAAGCAACCTACTAGAGGCCTCCAGACTTGTATTTGTTTTTCATTTGTTGCGCCCGACCGACGCCATCCAATTAAGGCTGCATATTTTTTTAATGCATTTTAAATGCAGCCACAGGCGCTGCATTTTTGTTCTCGTTTTATTTACAACTTGTTTTCAATTTGTGGCAACGTGGCAATATTTTAATTTTATTTCAATTCCATTCCAATTACGCATTTTCAACACATTTAACTGCCAAATGGCAAAAGTTTTGAGCGAAAATTTAATTTGAAGTTCGCGCCGCAAATTTTCAACGGCTTTGCGTAAAGTCAGACTAAAGTTGACAACCGAGAAACCTCTGCCATTTAAAGGTCAAATCGAATGGCATATCGAAAAAACTGTGACCGAAATGAATTTGTGTTTATAAACTTTTCAACGCACCTGATTGGTTCAGGTAGAAGCAGCAAGAAGAATCACCTGTTTAAAAGGTTAATTTTTAACTGAATTATTTTAAATATTTGAGGCGAATTTCAACTAAACTAATGTTGACAGCGGAAAAAACTCTCATTTAAAGGTCAAATCGAATTGAATATCGCAAAAACTGTGACCGAAGTTAATTTGTGTTTATAAACTCTTGATCCGTGATGATTGGTTCAGACAGGGGCAGAAAGAAAAAGCCCGGCTTAAAAGATTAATACTCAACTGAATTTTTTTTTAACAGATAATTGAGTGATTAATTATTTTAAATGTTGGAGGGAAAATTTTGTATTGACAGCCTAAAATTGAATATAGAGAAAAAAGTGTTAAAAGGTCAAATGGTTGACGTTAATTTGTGTTTATACAATTTTAATCCGTCATGATTGGTTCAGACAGGGGCAGCAAGAAAAAGCGCAGCTGAAAAGATTAATACTTCAATGATGGTGGTTTTATTTAATTAAAACTGGTAGTTGGATGCTGAATTATTCGAAATGGAGAAGGCTAACAAATACCAAAATTGAATATAAATTTATTTATTTGTATTTTAAATATATTAAACCAATACTTGTATATTTTGACAAATGGAAGAATACTGAAGAGTTGAAAAAAACACGTTTCTGCTTAAAACTTTAAAAATATTCCTCTGAAAATTATGGTAAGCGTTTGACTCTTTTAAATCGATAAAATTACCCCACTAATGCTAAGTACAAGTATATTCTTTTGGTTGCTTTTTAAAACGACTTACCATGGTAAATTTGAAAACAAATAATTGAAAATACAATAATTTAATTTGTCAATCGAAACATCCAAAGCCAACTTGTGAAAATTTATAATGTTATTAGAAGCTGCAGAAATGTTCCCAAATCAGGACAGCTACGGCTCTAGTGAATTTTCTGCACACTCTCAAAGATCCAGGCACTATCATTGACAGTATGATTCCTTATGCTCTGAAATGTAAAGCAGTCATCAGATAAATCCTTAATAGAATTACTGTTACGAGTTACCTTCGGACTGCCGCGATGAAAGAGCAGGCAGTCAGTACAGGGGCTGACGCCACTGATTTCGTCGAACTCGTAGATTATGGGCTCCACTAAATAGCCGCCCCAATTAGTGGGCATTAACTGCGGCTTCTCCTCTTGGGCGAATAGAGAGCGCAGGCATGAAGAGATTTTTTTATAGACTCCTCCCAAATGCCTTTCCCTCCTTCCCGTACAAATGCTCTTCTGGACATGTTGCGGATAGCGGCGAAACTGTTCCATGGCCTGGGCATCTGTCAAGCGATGAGCCCGGCCGGCTATTCGCACACTCCTCGTCAGCATTGGCCAGTGGAACTGCAATGAGACGGGCGCATTGCTTTCAATCCTGCCCAGAGTTGTGTAGAATGTGACGCCGGCATCGCTAATTTGCTCCACTGTCGTTAAGCTTGTCAAGGGCTTGCCTGTTCTGTGAAGGAAGCGTAACTAGAATATTCGTATAACTTGGTCAGATATCACCACCTATTTACTGTGGCCAGACATGCGACCCGTGGCTTGCTCTGCGGCGCATGCTTCAGTGCGTCGGCCAGCCATTGTTGCAGTATCGTATGTGGCTCCTTAATCGCAATGTTCTCCTCAAAACTGGGCACATGCGTCAGACGTTTAGAGGCGGCTATTCATATGTAATGGACTATATAGCTTTGTAGAATGTGATTGTGCCGAACTCCTACCTGCATGCAATTTCCTAAACGTTGAAGCTGCCGCAGGCATTTTCATTTTATTTGTAGAATTTTTTAAATTTTGTGTAAAGGCTTAGAAATCAAAAGAAAATATATTGATGTTTTTAAAACAATGTGGGAAATGTTACTCGAAACTCTGCAGATTTTACTTTATCTTGAGATTTGGTTTTTCAAACTATCTGTATTTTAATGAGCATTAAGTCATCAAATCAAATAAGGCTTTAGTATAATTGCGATTTTGTTTTTTTGGAATTAGATAATTAGAAAAATTATTCTTATTTGAAAATCATAAATTACTTGTCAAAATTGCAGAGTTATTCATTTTTGGATTCGATTTAATTGGTAATTTACAAAAAATATAATACTTAATAATAAAATAAATTCGTAGTTCAAGTTTTTTATTCAATTTTTAAACATTTCAACACTTGCATTTATTTTGATTATATGAGCATTTTGGAAGACATTGCAATCAACAATATTTTAAGATTCCTTCTAAGGTGCCAGGCGCTCATAGACCCAGCCATCGTCTCCGAGATGCACTAACTTGTCATCAACCTCATTCTCGACGCCACTGCCGCGTCGAAAACGTATGCGATCGTGCAAGCGATCTGTCTGTCCCTGCCAGAATTCAATAAGGTTGGGCCGCACTAAATAGCCGCCCCAATTGGGCAGTGGGACCTCGCCTTCGGGACCAATCTTTTTCTTAATATCCGCCTCAACAGCATCCAAATAATCGCGTGATGGAATGCGCTGACTTTGCGGACTAGCCGCTGCACCAATCTGACTGGCACGTGGACGTTGATGAAAATATTTGAGTGAATCGGATTCGGGTATTTTTTCGGCCACGCCCTCAATGCGGATACTGCGGCGAAGCGGCAACCAATATATAGCAATGGCAACATTGGGATTACAGGCAATTTCATCCGCCTTGCGACTGCCGTAGTTAGTGAAAAAGGTGAAGCCCTGAGCGGTGGCCTCCTTCACCAGCACGAATCGATTTGAGGGCTTCCCTTCGGCGTCTACGGTGGCCAGCGCTGCCGCATTCGGCTCCAGAATCTCCTGTGTACTCAATGCCAGCTCCATCCACTCGCGAAACAAGCAAAATGGATTCTTTATCTTGATGTTCTCCTCCAGGAAGGCATCTTTGCGTTCATGGTACTTCAAACGCAGCGCTATAAGCAAACATACATACATACATACGCTGTTTAACAGAAGGGCGGTGTTTTGTTTATTTTTTGGCACTCACCTGAGAGCTGCTGTATGCCGGCCGGGACTGGACTTTGGCTCATTTTCCGCACAAATACCTGTAGAGAACGCACTGTGCGGTGGATGGGTATGGGGGGGTTAAGAAGTCAAACGACTGTTCTTTATTTAAACAAAAGACACGTACTTGTTGAAAGTCACATTGATTATGGCTTTAATCAGTGGATTGTGGATTTTTTACAAGTACTATAATGGGCTTATTGATTAGCGCACAGCTGTTGCGAGCTGTCGACAGTGCTGCCACCTGGTTAGAATTGGATTGATAATTCTGTGCGTAAATAACAAAACAATGTTGAATCGCTAATAAATTGATGTGGGTTTTAAAATGTTATATGTTAAGTTTTTTATTTTTGAAAGATATTGTGAATAAAAGACAGAAAATGTAGTGAGAAATTAAGTGAATTATATAAAAGCGCCCTCTACCGCTTACACAAAGAACTTGTACTAAAAGTATGCTTTCAAAATGTGGGAATAATACAAACACTGTTGGTTTATAAAAAATGTAAGGCCAATGAAAAGTGTGTTAAAAATTAGTTTAACGTTAATTTTTGTTATTAGACGTATGTAAATAGTATGTGTGTATAATGAAAAGTATTCAAAATTGAACTGAATAGCTTATTATATATATGTTACTTTTATTATTTATTGTTTTTTAATGCAATTACTTGCATTCTTATATTTCCATATCCTTTAGGTTGAAAATTATATTTTTTGCGAATTATTACGACTAGACAATAAACAACTGATTCGGTATGTCTTTCCCTATGCAGAAAACTCGTCTTAAGAGTAAGAAATAATTTTAGTTTTCCTTTAGATGTCAGCTTTTCCCCTATCACTTTTAAATTTGGAAATAAAATCAATAATTTAAGAATACCAGCTTATTTATTTGAAAATACAAAATGAAAATTTGGGAACATTTAATTTATAGCTCCAAGTGTGTACACACTTTTATCCGTTTCATTTTCATCGTTTCCAAACAAATGACATGTTTTGGTGGCGTATGGTTATTGCTGTTGTTGTGAGGGTGGTTGTAGCTGCTGCTGGCAACCAACGATGATGGCATGCGAACAAATTCAGAACAAATTTAACATTAAAGGCTGCTGGACGTGTGTGAGCGCGAACGAGCGAAACGAGTGCGGAGCGCAAGCGAGGAATTATAGAGAAAGGCTGCGGATATACATACATAAAGACACACACAAACACACACATATGCGAACAGATATGCACTCTATGCATAAATAATTAATTCAACGAATGGTTAAACTATGAATAATCAAAAAAGCGAAATTGCGAATTCGGCTGCGAGTGTCTAATTGTTGCTGCTGTTGCTTTTGTTGCTCTGGTTTGCTGTGCCTGTGCCGTGCTTGTGAAGAACTTTTTATGTGGCGCTGCACACGCAAAGTAGGTTAAAAGGCAGAGGAGAAGCGAACAAGTTAGCACGGTGGTTTGGAGGTCGGTCGAAAAAAAAACAACAAAAATTTTTAAAAAGAAGGAGAAGGCAAGAGGAAAGAGAATTTACTACGTCGCCTAGTAGTGGAAGAAAAGCTGACGCTGCATGTGTGCGATAAGAAAAGGGAGTGAAAAATGCAATGCTTGGCAGAAAAATCTGAGAAATATTTATAATAGAGCATAAAATAAAAGAAGAAGCGCAAATGCCTTGATGACAAAAATGCAAAATTACGTTTAGTTTAATTTAAATAAAACCAAGTGATATTTTTACAATTGCGGCCCACTGCTGCTGCTGCTTTTTGCACAGTACAAAGAAGATACAAAACGAGAGGAAAATAAACACAAAACACAAGCACACACACAAACACAAAAACACACACATAGATACACACGCATCAAGCGCTTCTATATAGCAATACAAGTATATGCCAATTGAGTGCCTTATATCATTTGATAATAATCCACAAGGTGTCTACTATGCTGGACAGGAACTATCTGGCATTGTCGATCTTAGCGTTGATGCCACAAAGCGTATCAAAGGTAAGCGAATGCACTCACATACACACACAAACACACTCTCAGCAAAGTCACGCAAAGTCACACACGCATGACTCACGCGTTGCAATTGAATATTATAAGGCTTAAGTGCTTTTAATGATTCCATTTTCTAAAGGCGAAGGACATTCGCTAATTGTCATATTTAAATGCATATGAAAATTCATTTCCACTTTTCCGTATAATTAAGCTGCTGTCCCTCTTCTCCCCCTCACCCGCTCCCCACTAGACATTCCATCTGACTCACACAGCCATTCACTTTGCGACAAGTCGCCATTTTACTTTTTTAAAAACACAAAAAAATGTTGCACACAATTAATCGCTGTCGCATGTTCATGTCTCAGGTGACCAGGCGAGTCGCATAGTTTTTTGTTGTTCAGCTTATATCGGCATATATGTATGTATGTTCGCTCGCTTTTATAATGTTTTATGTTTGCTATTTTTAGTGCAATGCCATTTTGTGTATGTTTTTTTGGCATGCCGCCATTTTTATTTATCCATGAACTCGTTAAAGGCGTGGTAAGCGCATCGTTGATGTTATTGCAATGCCTCTTATGGTTGTTGTACTTGTTTTTGCTGTAGCAGACAACGACGAGAAAGTGGGCTGATGATGATGACGCTGAAGAGGTGGTTGCAATTGTTCGCTTACTGGGGTGTGCCCTCGAGGGGGCAGTTTGCATTCTAATTTGGTTTATGATAAATTCTGTTGCCTGCTTTTGGGCTGATTAGTTTTGTATAACATAGTGGTAACATAGAGAAGGGAAAGTCAGTTAAAAAAGCGCCCGAGAGTGAAAAGAATTTGAAATGGTTCCCAAATGCCGTGAGAGCTTTAGTTAAGTACATTTTTAGAGCCTTTCGGAGCTCAAAATCTTTCTTAATAAGTAATATTTTAAATATTTAGAGCTTCGTAACGAGCCACTTTTCTCTTAGTTTACGGCCTTGTGAGTCCATTATGATGTTTTGTTTAGATTCACTTCTGTTTAGTTACAATTATATAAACTACTTACGAGCTTGTGAAGAGAATTCAAAATGATTCCGAAATGTCGTGGTACTGAATATATAGAGCTATTTGGAGCTCATAGTCTTATTAATTAAATAGCAATTGTTGTCTATGCGCATTTTTCATAATAATAATAATTCTATATGGAACAGAAAATATTATAACTATTATGGATCGTAATTTTGAAATAAAACTGTCAAACAGTAATTAGATATTTTCAAAAAAGAATTGTAACCGATCTCATATTTATAGATTTTCTCTATCGATTAAAAGGTTAAGTTTGAATCGCTAATTTCATTAATATATTGCTTATTGAATATTTTACTCTTATTCTGATCGTAGAATAAACGTATTTCTTTGGAAGAGTGGAAACTTTATTTACTGATTATCTTGTTGCTAATCGGTTAAGGATTTCACTGAAAGCAGGTTTTAGTAGATACACATTGCAAATATTTCTACAACTTTATATTATGCTCGAATTAACTTGTCTGCATGCGGTGTTTATTGATAATTTACCACAATTATTATAGTTTACTTTATGTTTGAAATCTGCATGTATAATATATACAAGATACATACATATGAATATATATTCACTAAAAAATAAAGAAGTGCAATTATAATTGAAGCTTCTTTTAGACACTAATAGTAATATGGTTTTGCTTAGCGATGATATTTCAAAACGATGTCAGAGTGTTCAGCTGCTAGAAATGGAAGAAATGCTTTAAAAAATGATTAAATGTTTATCTTCCAATAATTTTGTTTGCCAACTTGTAGGCATCCATGTCACCATCAGCGGCTATGCAAAGATACGCTGGATAAAAAAGGGCTATCCGCGCGACAGTGAGCGCGCCATGTGTCGTGCCTATCGTTCGTATTTGTCGTCCCGATCGTATGTGCTCGGATCCTGTGCTAATAGCTCGAGTATTGACTGGATCGCTGGCGAATATTCGTATACATTTCATGTCATATTGCCCGACAATCTGCCCACATCGTTCGATGGCAAATACGGACAAATACACTATGAGATCATAACCACGATTGAACGTGCAGGCCGCTCGCCGAAAGCATTCAAGCTGCCATTTACCGTGATACAGCCTTTGGATCTGAATGCAGATGCCATTTATAGGGTAAGCGCATTCATAAATTATATTAGATTTGGCAAATGACTCATGAGAATATGTTTGTTTAGGTTCCCCTGGAGATACTGGATCGAAAGCGTTTCTGGAGCTTTTGCTGTCCGACGGGCCCGTTGACGGTGAAATTCTCGACGCCCTACTGCGGCTATGCGCCCGGCCAGAAAATCCACTTTGTGCTGTACATCAATAACGAGTCCTCCATTGACATTACAGCCTGTGAGGTGAAACTGAAGCAGGAGGTCAGCTATGAGTCGCATGATCCCCAGCACGAATATCGTTATGACAAACATCTGATAGCACGCAAGCAGTTTGGGAATGTTTTGCGCTGGTCCCGTAAGGTATATAGGGGCTATTTGGATCTGCCTTCTATACCGCCCACATCGGTGAAGCCCACTTGTCCCATTAGCGTTAACTATTCGATTAAGATTATAGTCAATCCGACGGACTTTCATTGGAAGCTGAAACTTAAAATACCGCTGACCATTGGCAGCATTCCAATTATGGATAGTCCTGAGGCCCTGTTGCGATTCAATCGTCAGCAACAACAGCACCAAGTAGTTAGTCAAAATTTACAAATATCAACGCAACGGCAACAGCAACAACAGCAGCAGCAGCAGCAACAACAACAGCAGCAGCGACAGCAACAACAACAGCTGCCACAATTGCAGCAAAGTTGCAGCCAACAGCGAAGACAGCAACAACAAGAATTAGGTCTAAGTAACATTAATAATAATACCAACAACAACAACAACAATCATGCACATCATCAGCAACATCAACAACAACAAGCGCAACGTTTAGTCAGTGGAACACTGCCGATTCATTCAGCGACCCCAACAAATTCAACGCCCTCGTCAACGCCAACGACTGCCGCCGTTAGGGCCATAATGCCTGCGATATTGGTGACCGATAGTGATAATCCGCCAGACTATATACCCATGAGTAAATAGCTAAATACACCCATACACCTTAGTGTTGTGAATTTGAACTCTTAAGCTCAAGCTCGTGAAGAGTCGTTTTAATGTTAACGTTTATTACAAGTAAATAGGAATATCTGAGAATCTATATTGTCAGGCTAGACGTAGCCTTCTCCAGTTCCCATTTCATTCTTTGGCTTAGCTTGCCAATTTATAAAAATTTCCGAATTTTTAGAAAATATTTAAGCCATGCAGCTGGCTTTAAGTTTGATTGAAAGTGGTTCAAAAGTGCTTCAGAGCCATGTCTTTAAAAACCTCTTAAATAGGCGCCTAAGCAGATAAGCTGATCTTTGTGAAATATGCACATTATGTGCTTATTGATAAGGAAACTTTTAAAGGCTATATTTGAACAGATTCGAAAGTAGTTAGTAGAAGTAATTTAGACATGCATTTCAAATGACATTATTATACGAGATTTATAGACTTTTTTTCAAATTCGTTCAAAGCTGACTTTAACATTAAATCTTTGCTTAGAAGAGGATTAAAAACTAAGTCGAACGTGGCACAAATCCTGTCTCTAAACTGCCTATACGTTTGTTCGATTCTGGTTTTGAAGTGGTTCAGATATTCCTTGCCAAAAGTAGTTAAGCTGTGTTATTAAGTTATTTGATCAATTCTTTGGAAAATGAAGTACCAACACCACAAATAGAAGTTTCAAGTATACAAGCATACACATACAATTCAAAATCTTTATGATTAAGCAAGCTATTCCAAAAGTTCAATTCACAACATAAGGCTTAGTCTAACTATCTCTATAATTAAATGATTTACATTTTGATTTTGATTGCAGTGCCGCCCTCATATGAAGATGCAATGGCTTTAAGTGAAAAATTTTACGATGATACCGAATATTTGACAAATGTTAGCATGAGCAGCATTATGTCAACACAGGGCGATGTTACAAGTGAGCCCTTTAAGCCACGTTATCCGGTCTATTACGATTATGAGACACCGACCATACCGCCCGGTAGTGATGATTCCAATGAATCCGACACATAAAATCAAATTGTTACAAAAAAAAAAAAAAAAAAACAATATGAACTAAAGAACTTCAAAAGTGCAAAGCAATATAACAGAATGCAAAACAAACAAATTGCAAATTGATTGAATGGCTGAGTGGCATTTTATTCCATTTTCCACTAATTTTATTCCTTTACATTTAAAAAGTAGTTAGAAAACAATTTTTAATAAGCATTTGTGTTTGATAATCATAGCGGGGATAGCTATGTTGTTAATATATGGAAGATGTGTCCCCGAACCGTGGTCTGTTTGTAATACTCTTCCAAACAAACGTACTTGTAACATTGCAAAGGTTTCAAAATTTCAAGTTTTATATACGAACTTGTTCTTGTAGTTCGAAATGATATACCAACCATTGTCCATTCATTAAACTTGGTTCTCATAACAAAATGCCTGTGGCTGTTTCTGTTAATAGTCCTTTGTCCTGTCCTGTGCAGTCCTTTGTCCTGTCCTGTGCGGTCCTTTGTGGTCTGTCTTCTTTGAGCTTTTGTCCTGTTTCGTCGTCTGTCTGTTTCAGTTCATCTTTCATATGGATTTCTGCAATAAATAAAATATTTTTATTCCTATTTTTTTTTTTTACAAATATTTAACATATACTTACATATTTATAGTACATATATTTAGTACAACTTGCACGTATCAACAAAATTAAAATTAAACACTTTCTGTATTTTTCTTTTTCAAAAATTAATAAAATTGTTTATTGTTAAAATACGTAATCGCTATCAGATGTAGTTTTTATTCCTTCACTTTTTTATTGTTAAACATACCTATATAATATAATTAACAAGTATATATGCAAATGAAACTTTTATGCTATTTACATGCATTTTAAATATTTAAAATAACTGAAATATATTGATATTTAACAGAGAATTTATAATTTAAGCCGACACTCAAAGAGTGTTGATTTACGAAGCAATGGAACAGAATTAATACATTTACGAATTTTTGCTCTTGTTTCTAACTTTTTTCCTGCTCTTAGTTTAAGTCCATTGTGTTGATAAACAATTATGCTTAATTTGTGAATTTCTGTTCTCTTATTACCGCCCCCGCACGCAACATATTCCAATGCCCAACATGTGCACCACCTGCCCAATAAACCGCCCAACCGTCCATACGAACACGCACCACAGAGACACTCTACGATGAGAGCAATTCGCAGCTGCGAATCGCTTTGCAGCCGGAAGCAGCTTCGGAGGAGGAAACTACGAGCCCAGCAACTGGAACTTTCGCTAAAATTATGCGCTATGAGAAGAAATGATATGGCTACGTATACAACAGCAACAACAACAACAACAACAGCAATATAAACTTATTTAATCAAGCAAAATTGAAATCAAAATATTACATTATTAACCGAGTTTGAAAAGCAGTGCGTCAGTATAGCTTTTAAGTCTGATATGGAATCTAAATTGAACAACTTTTTATATAAACACGATAGTACTACTTATATACAAATATATATGTATAGTATATTTTGCGAAAAACGTAGCGAAACTTTAAAGGAATATAGCAATTACTTGTAGTCCTACTAAATTTATTAACAACTTTTCACTATCTTATTAACTATTCTGATTTGAAATCCCCTGTCCCTCTGACATTACCTCCCGAACTCTTCCCAACTTTGCGACTCTCTCTTTAGTCCTCTGGCCAAAACCTTTTATTCACCCAATATTCTGAAAATTTTCCTATCCCTTTTGAGGTCTGCACTAACAACAATTAAAGGAAATTTTATAGTAATTAATTAGCGTACTTTTAGGCATTAACTAAAGGCAATTGCACAATTTTAACTGAAATTAATAACCCGTTTACAATTTCTAAATGTTAGAAACAAAGTAAATGCAAAGAATTTAAAATTCGAAACACCTATTTGAGTTAGCAATGATTGATTTGTATTTTCATAAAACAATTAATTTAAATTAAGAATATATATTTAAGTACCACTGTACAGCTTTGTACTCCCTTTGAAACATTATTTGAAACTAGTCTACACTCTAAGTCTACTCTGTCTTCAATTAATTCAATAAAGCAATACATTATACTATACTATAAAATAAATAATTTAAAAATGGAGCACGTCTGCTCATTGTTTTCGTTTGTTATTGCAAAAGCAGCTAAGTACCATTACTATACATATAGTACGTATATAGAGTTCAATGAATTTCTTAGTTGTAGACGGCAAGGCAACTTGTTTTCAAACTTGTTTTGTGGCTGGGCGCGCAACAATTTCGACAAAACACAAACGAAACAAACGCTTTAATGAACGCGTTTTGGGAACAGCAAGAAATTGAAGGCAATTAATTGCTTTACAACGCCCGGCATAATAATTATTATGTTTTGAGTCATTTAAATAATTAAATGGCTGCTGCTTGGCCCAAACATTTCTTTGTCAAGGCGCTGTGCAAGCTGCTCTCTCTTCACTCTCTCTCTCTCTCTCTCTCTCTCCCTCTCATCACTCTCTCTCTTTCCGCTCTCTGGCGCTGCCTTTCTCTGTTGGCCGCAGCTGCAACTCCTTGTTGTTATCAGCCGCAAAACATTAGAACCAGTTTATTGGCAACTGCCTGATCCACTTCGGACCAGCTTATGGCCAAACATTGTGGCATGCAACTAACTCAACTGGTTGGCCCAATGCAGCAGTGCAGCAAACTGCAATGATAAAGCGGACAAATACTATATGCATATGGCAGCAGTTCGATCGCAACTTCGGGCCAGTTTGCAAGCGGCGCCTCATTATTTATGTCCATTAGCCGCGTCGTAAAAGCAAAGCAAAAACGTATCTTAATTCGGCCTGATTGTGGGCGTATGTTTTGTGTCAGAACAGTCGTCGGCATCTCTCCCGACTTCAAGCCACAAGCAATTCGTACAATTGTTGTGCCTTGGAGGAAAGCGTTTTGAGCAACAGTTGTCATTTGTGTTCGGCAGCTCGACGGCGAAGCTCCAAAAATTCTCTAAACTCGCAGCTAAATAAAATTGTCGCGTGCTTGCGTGCAATCGTGCCTAACAAACTAAACAACAAAAAGATTGTTTAGCTCATAATTATACAAATATAATTAGCCCTCTTTCGGTTTGCATGCGACTACTTGTACTATACAGAAAAATAATTTAGAATGCCAATAAATTGTCAATTTAATTTGTTGCGCTCAGCGCTTGTTTACTACACTGGCGAACAAATTTCGGGCTCACTCACCCTCCTGGTTAGCAAAAAGGCCGTCTCACTGGAAGGTGAGTCTTGTACATACTTGTATATAAAATTGTACTTATTTGCATTATGCGTGTGCTTGCGTGTGTTCTGTGCTCGGCGCATCATTAACTTAATGAATTTGTGGTGTTGACAAAAAATAAACGGCGTGCAGTCATTTGGGGCTGATTAGATAAAAGGTTTGGCATTATTGTGATGAGTGGTGAGCACGTGGTCCAGAGCGAATCTTGGATGAACATGTTTTTCAACTGCTAAAAACGACAAAAAGACCATATATTAAAGTGCTTTAATTGCTAAAAAAAAAAGTTCATTAAGTTGATAATTAGATTAAATATTTGAAGCTTAAGAATCTCAAAAGTTATTGCAATCATTAAACTTCGCTGGCTCTTCTGCCGGACCGTCTGCCCGTCAAGGCATAGAGTTGTTGTTGATCCTCTCATGATTTTGCAGAACTAGATTCCTGGGCAGCCGATCCTCTCAAATTTGTAGCTTTCGTCGTTTTGTAGTTTGCATCCCTTATGTACCTTCTATATTCTTCCTTCTGTTGTCTAGGTTTACTTATTTCTTTTTGACTTATGTACTTAATAATATAGTACGTTTGAACAATGACAGTTTCTGACATTTAAGAATTCATTTATTTAATTGTTTTCAAGAATGTATAGTAAATACTTCTTATATGGCTTAATCAATTGTTAAAATATGCATTTAAAAATGTTGAAATATCACCAAAGGAGACTAGAGAAAATTCGCTTTAGTAGGCAGCCGTTTGAAGGGGAAATATTGAATGGGTGAATCGGTTCTTTAATGCATAATTTAAATAATATTAAATTAGAGCTTCGATGAGAAACCCTCAAAAATAAAATAAAATAAATAAAAGTCATAGCCAATTGTTGTCATGGACGTTATTAGACTATACTACCAAATATCCACTCGTTTTTTATTTTTCAATTTAATCTTTTGTTAATTTTATATATATTTTTTTTAATATATTGGATATTTTTCTTAATTTCTTTAATTTTACAATGTGCTACTCAGGAATATTAAACTAAAAATCTGTATACAAATAACGCTTTTCAGAAATATCCAGTTTATCGAAGTTTGGATACAAATTATGTTCTTTTAATGGATTTTTTTGTTTTAGAAAATTCTAGAATATTCATTAAACGGACTGTTAAAAAGCAAATATTTAATACTTGAATGAAAAATGAAAAATAAATGCCATTTTATTAGCCACTCAAAAATTGATTTTTTTATTAAAGTTTTGTCAATATTTAATGATAAATCGATTGGATTTGAAAATTAAAATATGCTATTAAAAATTTTTCACTTTTCGAATCAAAGGTGGAGGAAAAATTCTTAAATTTACTTACAATAAATATCATATATTTCCTCACTCTGTTAAGTATGGAACATTTCGACACATTTCATGGAATTCGGAAATGCCAACAGGCCTTAAAGTCTACTTGCATTATAATTTATCTACAATCTAAATCAATAACGAAATTACTTTACTCACGACCCATTCGGCAGCCATCAACATTACATTGCTCGGTCAAAGCAGCACAAATTGGAGTGAGCGTGCTATTCTTAAACAGCCCCAAATCGAACATAATGATAGCGCCCACGATGCCAAGCCCCTCAGACTGAACTACACAGGCCACAAAGTACACATTAGGGAGACACAAAAGCTGGCCGGAGCTTTGGTGCTGCTGCCAGGAAACACACAATTGGGAAGCTTTCAGTTCCAATTGCCTCACACACTGCCCGCCACATGCCAATTGCCGTACGGTTCCATCAACTATACGCTTCAGGTGGAGCTCGAAAGGCGTGGAAAATACGTCAAGTGCTTCAAACAACGACTGATCGTTAGGAAGTGCGTGGAATTCCGGAGCCTTCGACCTCTACAGAGCACAACTCCCACTCTTTCGCTGCAATTAGAACGCTCTGTGTTTGTGCCGGGACAAGGTGTGGCCTATAAATTAATTCCCAAGCGGTTGCACAGCCATGGTTACTTGAATATACGGCTCTGTCAAGGCATCACCTATCGGAGCCACACACCGGAGGCGAAGATCAAGCGCGTCCTTCGTGTGCTGGACGAGAGCTCTGAAATAGACGGTGCTTTGCAATTGCCATTGACAGCGCCCATTATGAGTGATACGGCAGACCAGGACCTCATCGAGATCAGCTATTATTTGGAAGCTCTCGATGATATCGAATCGATCAGGTTGCCGCTTTGCGTGGGGACTGTGGCGCCTCCCATGGAAACGGATCCGCTCGCCCATGTCGATTCTCAGCCCCTTTGTTTTGTCAACCTTGGTAAGCTGATTGTTATTGTTATTTATAAACAGCATTGTTACTTAACTACCAACTGTTTATTATGTTTTTTTTTTTTTTTTAAATAGCCACTACTGCGCTGAGCCAAAACGAGCTGTTCGCTCCATTCAATCAGTTAATGCCGCACAGCTGTTCCAGAGAAGCCAACGCCTTCGGTATCAGCAGGCAATGCGATCGCCTCAAATTACTGAAGCATCAGAAGAAGCAGTCGTATGTCAAGTGGGCTCTGCATTATTTTTATAAAAATATGCTGCCCTAAGTGTATTAAGTAGCCGATGATTACGCTATTGACCTATATCTGATTTACATGGGCGGTTTTTTCATTTGCATGAAAGCTGGCAAGTGCAGTATTTTTTCGAGAGAAATTGCTAAAAAAAAAACCGGATAAAAAGCGCTGGCATAACACTGTTACTACTTGATTGTAATTCAAGTTAACTGCGCATTGTTGTCTTAAAGTAAATGATTTCCATTGTGCATATGTAATAGAAAAGGCCAAGCAGAATATTTAATTTTAATGGAACCTTTTAAATGGCATGCAAAGAATTTAATGGTTGGAGTTCGTATATAAGCTCAAAAGTATGAGCTAAGCTCCACATTTTTTATAAACAGATGTTATAATATAAGTAATATATAATATACTGAAACATTTAAATGCTTTACAGAACTATCAGTATTTTTGATTTAAAAAATTGATTTGAAATATACAGACATTTTTATGTATTTTTTCTACTCCACTTTGTTTATATTTTGATTTGAACGGTAAACATAAAATAGGTTTGTTTGTGTTATAAAGTTAAATTTTTAAGTTACCGTGTAACTTAACAGTGTTTTTTTATAAGAAGAATCTAAATGATTAAATCGGTAAACCAAGTTTCCGGCTATTGAAGATCAGTTTGGTGAATTGTGAATATTCCATCGGCGTTCTATTGTGTGTGAAAACACCAACAGTGCGTTGGAAGACTGTATTGCCAGCTCTATTGTAGCGACGGAGAAAATGTTCCCTACTGGTACCTCATATTTCTTGCATCTGTTGTCTGCTGTGATGTCCAGTTTATTGGCATGAGTGGCTCTCAGGCACATTCCTTTCTCTGCAGGACGAATTAAGTGAATTGTTTGTCTCTACCCTTACCCTTCCGGCGATCAGCTTTCGTAAACCATTAAGAACAATTGTTTCTAAGCACTTTATTATATTAAAGAAAATGCAAATCTTAAAAATACAAAAGCTGGCCAATCAAAATTCCATGAAATCATTAACTCAAATAGTTTGTTGATGATCTTTTTCAAATAAAAGTTAGACTGACATCTATATTCCTACGAATGATGCAAATACAGCACACTCATCAAGCATATATCTGATGTTGATAATTGCTTCAAAATAAAAATAATTGTTTCTTAAAATATTGGAATTTATATGTTTTAAATATATCTGAAAGATAGTGAAAATAGTTGTGCTGTCCCTTTTTCCAAAATGTGTATTATATCTCACATGATATAGAATAGAAAAACGAGAACTTTCCTTCATTTTAGTTTATACCCTTACATTTGTGAAACATTGCAGTAGCAAAATGTCAGCCGTGATTTGGCCTTTAATTCAAGTGGTTGAATAAATATATGATTTATTAATCCTGACGCTAAGTAGCTAAAAATATCCGCTTTATTTATGCATTTATATTATTTTGGAAGCACTCAGCAGAAAACCCTTTCAATTTATGCTAATTTAAATAATCCTCAATTCTATTTCGACGCCATTGCGCTACCACTAGCTGTGGAAGCCATACTTGTGGCAGGCAAATGGGTCATGTCGAGCTCATTAAAATAATTATGCATGCCAAATTAATCGGGCGGTGCGTGGGCCACAATGTCGAGTAACGAACCCGCGAAACCGCAACAGCTCTTAATTAAGTTTTAAATTATTTGGTGACATTTTGTGGCGGCCTTTGACAGGGTAATGAGGCATATGACGACGTCATAGAGGCTCGATAGACACAGACACACATACACGCACACATAGGCATAGGCACAAAGATTCTCAATGCCGCCAAAAATTTGTCTGACTTTTTGTTGTTGGTATCGTTGTTTGTTTGTATTGTGCGTTGCTGTTGCCAAAAAAAAAAAAAAAACAACACACACAAAGTAGTGCGCAAAAGTTGGGCTGGTTAGGGAGGGCGGCGGACGCCGACCTCGCCGCCACCTCCTGGCTCTGCGGATGCCGCCGAGCAAAACAAAGAAACTGAAAGGGGCAACCAACAAGCCGTTGCTTGCTCCATTTCCGAACGTTTCGTTTTGAAATATTAGACCAGAAGCAGACAGTTACACAGACGCATGGCGCCAACTTATCGATTCAGGCGCCTTGCCCCGCAGTCCCAACACAAAAAGCGAAAGCCAGGCGGCGGATGCTGCGACCAACAAAGAGCTGTTGAGGCCTCAGTGCGCGTCTGGCTGTGCCGCAGAGAGGAGCGCAAAGTTCAGCTCAAAACCACCAAGCAACAACCAAATAGCCAAACAAAATAATTGGCAATTGTGATGAAGTGGCTGTACAAATTATCCAACACATTTTAGCCATGCCCACAACTTGTGTGTTCCAATTGGATCGCCTTAACCCGGCCTACAACAGTGGCGAATATATCAGTGGACGCATTTTATTGCGCACCGATAAAGTGAAGCGTGTGAATGGTGAACAAATAATAATAATAAACAAAACAATGCATGAAATATTAACAAAAACTCCACACACAACTGCAAAACATTTGCTGCCTAAATAACATTTTTCCATAAACTCAAGACAAATCTTGTTTCTGCGAAAATATTGTTTTGTTATTTGCTCTTTCTTTTCAAGCCAAACCCATCGTTCCTTGCTCCTTGCGACTTGTTTGTGTTGCGGTAGCTTAAGTAAACAGTAAACTCATCGTTCATTGTCATTACACATATTTTCCCCCCTCAGCCGTCTATGTAACGCTGGAGGGAGAGGCCAAGGTGCAGTGGTCCATGAGCGGCAAGAGTGAGACGGCAAATTATTCGGGCCATCAACAATATCTGCACACACGGACCAACGTCTTTGATAACTCACTTTTCCGCGCTGGTGTGCACGTCTATGTCCTGACGCTGCGCATTCCACCCGACTGTCCGAGCACGTGTAAAGGACCTTATGGCTATATCGCCTACAACATCTCCCTGACCATCGACAAGCCCTGGGGCTTCGATGAGGTCTTTCGCAAGCCCATCACAGTGATCCAAACACTCGATCTCAACTACAATGCAGAGTTTGCAGTAAGTGTAAAATATTTAGATATACAAAATGGCTTAATTATATTTTAGATGCATATTATGATTTTAAGACCCATCTTAGTTTTGATTACAAATGAAAACCATTAGTTATTGATTTTAGCTTCAATTTCTATTTTCAAAATAGTGCAAAGAACGGTGATCACAATTATCTTTATACTTCAAGCTTAAATATAATGCATATCTGTGTTCTGTAATGAATTCTTATCTTTCCTACCATCAATGTATTCGATAAACCTTTAACATAAATAACAACAAACAACAGAACAAAACACATAAGCTTGGCAACATCGATTTGACCAAGAGTGGGACTCTATTTTCTTTCATCAAATCTTAAGCAAATTGTATTGAAATACATTGCATTTATTTATATTTTTAGTGGGTTATAACATTTTGTAGTAAATTATTAGTGGGTTCCAATGTTCTTTGGTTCCATTGATTTTCATTGAAGTTTAATGGATTCATTGGATTTCTCTAAGATTGTATTGATTTTAAATTAATTATATTGAATTCCCTTTTAATTTATGATAAAATTCTTAAAAATTAGAATATTTTGGCATACCTTGTAGTCACTGCCAATTGCTTTGGTTCTATTGTTTCCTTTTGTCCGTGACTACATTATTAGACATATTTGTTTAATGCGTTTTAAATTGAATACTACTTAATTTTAAGTGGAATACTATATGTTTTGATTACTCAGGAGGTCTGCTTTTTCTTGTGTAGTTTGTTGCACAGAGATTTTTATTTAGCTTTGAAGCCTTGTTGGACATACCATTCAAATTCCTAAAGTAGCCATAGCTTGAATTGAATCAACAGTGCTGATTCATTCTTTTGTTCTAGGTTGTGATATCTTTTGTGTTTAGTTTTGTCGTTTCTTTTATGTGATATTTTATGGCATTGAGATAGGTGATATCTGTTTCTTGTCGTAACTATCTTTGCGTTCACACTCTTTCATTATCCTTCCACTCCCTTACAGTTACCGGTGAAGGATGAGAACATTAAATACCTCTGCCATTGGCCCTGCATCTCGGGTCCCATATGCACCAGTCTGGCACTACCTGCATCTGGTTTTACGCCCCTGCAAGATGTGCCCTTCACTGTGGAGGTTGACAACCAATCACCGCATTATGACATTATTGGACTCGAGGCCTCGATAAAGCAGCATTTTGTGTTTCTCTCCCGTAAGCCTGTCAAGCGTAATTTCTACACCAAGACGTTGTGCAAGGAGGCCGTCACGGAACGCACTCTGCGTCTGTCGAAACGGGTGTACGAGTCCAGTATTTGTGTGCCGATAGACACGCCACGCTCCACCCTGAATCCCAACTACATTGTATTCGTGCACTATACGCTTCAAGTGAGACTGAAAACGGGTTACTTCCACTACGACACAGACTTATCGGTGCCCATTGTGATTGGGACAAAGCCGCTCCAACAGTTGCAGGCCCAGTTATTAGCGAGAGCCGAAGCCGCGGCCAGGCGCACACCTGAGCGTGAACGTCTCATAGAACGCGTACCGCCTCGTCAGCCGACAGTGGCGGAGGAGCCAGAGTCGGAAACGGCTGTGGATGAGACACACCAAGTACTCGAGGCCGATGAGCCACCATCCTACGACAGCTGCTGTGAGAATGACTCAGATCTTCCCAATTAATCAACTCACCTTCTCTTTCCAATTGCAGTGCCACCGTCCTTCAGTTTTGCAACCTTGGCTGGCAGCTTGCAGACCCTGGAGAGTCAATTGTCAGGACAGCATCAGCGCATAAATTTGCCAAAGTTTCCGGGCTTTAGCACGTGCATAGGCACTGCGCCGGCGCACGGCGGACTTGAGGATTCAGCGTTCGACTTGCGCTTATTCCGCTCCTATGGCTCATTGGACACCGATCATACGGGTCGCAGCTTGGACACTTTTGGCTCGATGTGTGGTCCACTTTGTGAGGAAAGCGAGGATGGCGTTGAAGAGGTAGATGCCGATGAAGAAGATGAAGAAGAAGCAGCTTGTAAAACTGTCCAACAGGTTACAGTGCAGGTGCACGAACAACAACGACATCAACAATCCGACCAGCAAGCAGAGCATCAATTCTAAGTGCTTCTGTCTTTTGACAACACATTAGTGTTAAGTTCGCAATGCGATCTTAATTTTAGGAACTAGATTAGGATTTAAGGAAGCAAGGTTTGCCTTTTGGGCCTGCCTATTCAGTCCACATTATATTTACATGAGCACCTACGAATATTCTTCATTAACTGCCATTTTTATTAGTAACCCGAACTTATCGTGTGCCCAATTGTCCATCTAGTGCCTATTTACTCATCTATTTACTTATACATTGAATAATTATAATACTTATGCATATGTATACAAAATTAATTCACTTCAGTAAATTTTAGGTGCACTCTTAAGTGTTCAATTGGACAATAAAGATGTGTGAAATAATGCAACATTTTTTTAAGCATTTCTATTTAATCTACAATTTGAAATAATTTCTTTTTAAATATCTCATTTTGAAAATATTTTTGAAGAGCCTTCGTTTTCTACAAACTCTATCTCTTCCGAACGGGCTGCATTTTTTTTAATGTTTTCAGAGCTGGATGTCAACTCTGTTATCAGAAAGGTTTGATTCGCTTTGTTTTAGGCTTATGGCTCGGGCCTTGGAGTCAGATATGGTCTTCGTTCAAAACTAGTTTAAAGCTTTTAAATAAATAATACGATGTCTTTTCAAATTAAGCTCAATATATAATCTTACTTTGAACTTCATTGGCATAAATTAAATGCCTTTCATAATTGATTTAGAGCTTGTCCGTATGCCAAGTTTCACTATGATAGACCGATTTAGCAAGAAGTTTTGGTTGACTGCAAACATGCTTACACAGACACGAATAGACGCGCATAAGCATATGTACATAAGTACACTCACATAGACGCAATTGCTATGTAAATGTGCAAGTTCGTTACGTAAGTTCGAATACCAAGAGAGGTAAAATCAATCAAATTTATTTTTTAATTCTCTTAATTTTTTTAAATTTCTATAATTATTTTAAACATATGTACAGAGTATTTCAAAGTCGGGACACCCGACTTTAGCATTTTTACTTGTTTAGTTTATAATAAAAGCGAAACTTTTAACGGGAACGTTATATGTATACGAGTATATATCTTTTTAGGGCCCACAACAAATAAAATTGACCGAAACGCCAATCTCTCTTAAAACATTGATCCAAAGCACTAAACGAGAAACACGAGCAGCAGCTAGATTTATAGACTACTTTATTCGTTAAATGACCAACTTATTATCAAATATATTGAACCAATATTTATATTAGTCATGTGTGCTATTCTGGGAAAATGCTTTATCTGCCATCAATATTTCATTCTGATTTATGTCATTTTTATGCCAATAATACCCAATTTATTATTATAATGCGGTGCTTCGTTCATAACAAAAAAAAATCAAATTCGATTTAAACTCAGATAAGTTGATGATCTTGGACCAATAGCACTCATCTCAGTAGAGCGCCCAATAGTATGCTATGAAATGCAAAATTCAAATTGAATTTAATTAAGTTCGGGCCTATTTTATGGCCAGTCTGCATATACTCGTAGTAATAACGATTTGCTATTGAACGATAAGCGCGTGCGTTTCTAATGAAGGTCGACGTATTGCCCGAGTTAGATTAGATAATATTCGTAGTTACATATTCTAGATATAGCTGATAAGAAATTGGAGCTTAAGAGTCCACAGCACTGGCCTATTACCGACACAGCACGAGCAACAGTTGGCCAGTAAACAACATTTATAGAAACAGTAGTAGCCCCCCAGAGTTGGCCAAATCAAAAAATATGACGTTGAGTTGTGACATGCAATTGGACAGGCCAAATGGACAATACCAGGCTGGCGAGACGGTTAATGGCAACATCTACTTGACGCTGCCCGAGCGCCAATTAATCAAAGGTATGAGTCACAGACGACGCCAGTGCTGGCTGATGGCTGATAAGCCAAAATGTACCAAATACTTGAAGGCAGAGTGAGTCAGACGAGTGGTCTATTGGGGAAACATTTTTATAATTTAAAAGATTACCGCTAAAGTGTTTGTAGATAAGCTTTAATGCAGTTAAATCCTGTAAAAGCCTAACAGATGTTTATTTAATATAATTGAAATATTGCAATATAAAGGCAATTTTTTGAAATAGTCGTCAAATCAAATGTTTTATAAGTAAGAGAAATAATGCTTAGTAATTTTAAAATACAACAAAAAGAACAACAATTAATTCGCTCATTTTTGTCGTTTCATAATTTATTTGTTGATAATGCGATTGATGGGAAATAGCAAACAAAATTATTTTGATTTATTTTTATTATTTTATATTGTTGCATACCTTTAGTTTTTCAAATTGTTGTGGAAAAGAAAGATATATTCCTATTAACAAACTAACCCTTGCCTTTCCTTTCGCTTTGTTTTGTTTGCAGCCATTGCCTTAGAGGCCAATGGCTATGCAGCGTGTTCCTGGTTGAAGCCACAAAAGCAAAAGAAGAAGAATCAGCAGCCGCAGGAACAAAATGTGGTCGTCATTGATAAGAGTAAGGGAAAACAAAAGGAACCCATAGCATTTGAGCAACGAGTGGACTATTTGGCCAGCACGAGTTATTTCATTGGCTCCGAGGCCGCCAGACACAAGATCATGGATGCGGGCGTTTATCATTTTGCCTTCAGCGTGCCACTTCCCGAGAACTGTCCGAGCTCCTATGAGGGACAATATGGGCACATACGCTATACGTTACAGCTGGTGCTGCTGCTGGGCGGCGACACAAATGAGCGTTTGGTGGCACATTACCGCACTCTGCAAGTGGTTCAACATGCCGATCTGCGGCACGAGTCAGCCACCTTGAATGAGCCGCTGGATGAGCAGCAATTGGAACGGACACCACGCATGAAATTTTGGCAGCGACCTTTGCTCTTGGAGCTGAATATACCAAGACGTGGCTATGCACCTGGCGAGGGTATCTCAGTGCATGTGCGACTGCACAATCCACAACAACTGATGCTCAGCGAACTGATTTATAAGCTCAATCTCCTGACCACATACACGGGTCAGCAGCGGGGCAAGCCGAAGCGTCAGGACACAAAGCTGGAGCGTCGAAATCTGCTCAGCAGTGTGCATCAACTCAGTAACACGCCTCGCAGCGAACTCTTCCAGCATTTGCACACGCTGACGGTGCCACAAATGCCACCTTCGCTGGAGGTGGTCTCCTGCCAGTGCCTGCAACTGAGCTATGAGGTGGAGGTGGTTGCGAAGACCACACAGCGCACGCGCTTCATCATGGCCCAGGTGCCGGTGGTAATCGGGAGCATGCGGGAGGGACTATCCATCAATATGCATAGTGCTAGTGTGGCCAATTTGGCTGTTACCCGATCCATGGATGAGCTGAATGCTGCCACAGCGCCCGCACTAACGCCCACAGCCACAAACTTGACGGCTCCGAATTTCAGTGTCTCCATGCACTCCCTGGGTAAGTTTCACTTCAATTAAATTTATGAATAAATTTTAGTTAAATTCTACTGCCACAGCTTCCACGTTTCGTGAGGCAGACTTCATGACGGCCAACAATCCAAACAAAGGCATAAAGCATGCCATGAGTGGAGAATCACTTGACTTCAAGCCACGCTATCTCTATTATGAGATGGAGCACGCCGAAGGCGAGAAAATGCTCTAAAGCTAAAGAAAACATATATCTATATTTAATTCATTAAATATTTAAATATTCATACAATTTTGTATTTCAAAACGTTAAATGAACATGCAAGTAAAGATTAATTTTAAAAATGTAGGCTATTAGGTTAAGTCCAAATTTGGGTTGAATAAGATGGAAATAATTTTTAAGAATTTATTAATAAGAAACAATTATTTTGGAAATATGAAAATTTGTTAATTATTTTTTGTTGCAATTTAATTCTCACAATTTGTGCAAAATTTATTTAATACATAATTTTGTAATTGTCATATGTTTTTGATGAACGTTTATGTACGAAAATTGTTTTTAAAAAATCATAAAAACGGTTGCAAATTTATCTTATAATAGTAATATCCAATTTATATCTGAAATTGCATTTTAATTGATTTATATTGCCATTTATTTATTTATTGTTTATAGTTATTTATGGATTTTATCTCCCACTAATGTGAAAAGCTTTTAATCCAATATATCTATAATATAACCTATATATATCATTACTTTCATTTTAAACAGCTTTTCTAAAGCTTGCTCAAAAAGCAATCATTATTTTTTAAAAAAATAATGCTGCATCCCATTTTTTACAACTTTCGGGTAGAACAATATATTTTAAATTTTTAGTTAAACATCTTTTTTTATTTCTCAACTATTAACCAATATTCGATGTGCAATCTAATAAAAAAAATTTATAACAATCAATAATATTGAAAAGAGATTGTCAATTGCCTCTTTTTGTTATTATTGAGAATTGTAAGAAAAAAGAATACCGACAATCTGACCAACCAGCTTTTAGATAAATAACAAAAACCTTTTATATATAAACACATATTTAAAAAAAGAAGTGTACATTACTGCTGCGTAATTATTTAAGTTTGGAAGAATTGGAAGAATAATAATAAAATGAAAATGTAATGAAATTTTATAATTTTTAATCATCTGAGATGTCGACACAAACCGTATCTGAATAATCCAAAGTATCGCATTGAAATGAGGAAGCAGCTGACTCGCAATTCACATCTATATTGCATTGATCTGCAAATAATTAGCCAAGTTAATAGAAAGACTTCACTAATTGTAGATTTATACGCACAAAGATTGCTTTCGTTGAGCGTTGACATTTCTACCATGTCTGGCACTTCTAGCATTTCCGGGAATTCTGGCGGACTTGGTGTTTCTGGCGATTCGGGCGTTGTTGGCCTCCAGCCCCATGATTTTGAGTGCGAACTGATTACATTCAACTTAATGTGTTCCTCTGATCTGGCTTGGTCTGCAACGGATTATCTTAATATAGATATGTCAAAATCTGGCTAGTTGTAGGCTTAAACTCACTGGAATTGTGCGCATTGTGGCTGATTGATTCGGGTGGGGTGCTTTTGTTGGTCGGATCTGAGATGTTTTTGGCCAGCGGTATGGTGCCAATAACGATGGGCATCCGAAATAATGCCTCTTCCTTAGTATCGCCCATCGTTAAAGATACAACAATCCCATAGGATATCTCTATAGCTCTGTGGTCATGCGTTGAGGGCGGAACTGATGGTACCTTCAGTGTATCCGTAATTACACGCCAGGATGAGCGCTCAACTGCGCCTAGATGAGAGGATTCGGCGATTTCTGTGATCTGCTGCCGGACTCTATGCTTCGGCATTGTTGCTCTATATTTGCAAATCTGCTCTAGCTTCAACTTGATATTGCGAACGGTGTAATAGGAAGATGGATTTTGTACATGGAGTTCAAAATTTATCAACTGGCTAGGCGTATAGCCGCCATAGGGAATGATGAGTGTGGCAGTAACGGGAGATGAGCAGAAAAACCAATGGCATGAAAATTTTTTGGTATAAGCAAGACTCTTTGGATGCTGAAAGATCGAAATGCTGGTCGAAGTAATGATTTAATCAATATCTTAAGGACCTACCACCAAATCCGGACTTTGATTAAGATTATAGGACTGAAATATTGTCAGCGGATGCCTGAACAACTCACGGTGTCCGAACGGCCGATTCACAGTCAGCAATACTTCACAGACAATCTTTCCGAAATCGCTTACAAATGACGATGGAAATTGGGGGGGAAGTGGCATTGAAAAGTCGTAGGTGTGGGTGCCTGCATCAAGTTCCATATTTCTCTGAATTTTGGCTCTCTTAGCCAGCATATCCATTTCGATGTTACGAGCATAGCTTAAATATTGCTTAGTCCTACTATCCTTAGTGCTTGAGGGCCCCAGTTCCCACTCCACGGTGACAACGAACCTTAAACTGATGTATATATCTAGAAATAGGTACAAACACGCTCTTAAATTTCAAAGAAAACAAAGAAAACAAATATCTTTATCAACGTAATTGTTCGTTTCAATTGAAATATTTGTATTTTTTGGGAAAACTAACTCACGGAAATCGCTTTGGTTTTGCAAAATAAAGTTATAGATGTGGTGGTATAAGCAAACTAGTAAACTTACCCTGAATATATGTTTTCTCATTTAATTTTAAAGATACACATCCCGTAATGATCTCGCCGGTATAATAAATCAGGTCGGCCTTATCAACTTCAAATACAACATACATTGCAAATGTTGATCGTTAGTTTGCCGTAACAAAAATTATTGTTTGATTAATTTGAATAAATGTTCCCAAAAATATTTGTCGCACTTAAATGATTGGAATTCAATAACTTAATTGCCGAATACCGAACTCCAACACAAATCGAGCTTAACTGAACTTGAATATGAAACAAACGCGCATTTTGAATGATTAGAGTTTCTATATTTTCAGGCTGCGTGGTGAAAATCAAGACTTTTCGAAGAGTCTTCCAGAATTCTGTGGCGATGTTGTTCCCTTCTCTCATGCTCCCCTTATAATAGAATTGAATTAATTTTTTTTTTTTTTTTTTTAAAGCAATCGTGTTCGAAGTAATGTTACTGTATAATGGGTTGAACGGGTTATGGGAACACGCCAGACTTTTCTGGCGATCGTTCAGCTTTACTTCTTTATAAATAAAAGGTTCGATATTTTACGCGTCGTACAAAAGTTTTTAAAATTACGAAAACGAGATGAAAACAATATGATATATTGTGACGAACAATTTTGCAAACCTTACACATCGTCTACATTTTTCGTTTAATCATCTATTTCAGTTTAAATTTTTATACTCTGTACATAAAATGTACAAGAGTACAAGTATATTAGGTTTGCGGGAGCTGAAAATGTAACAGGCAGAAGGAGGCGTAGCAGACCCCACAAAGTATATATATTCTTGATCAGCATGACAAGCCCCGCCGATATAGCTATGTCCGTCTGTCTGTCCGTCTGTCAGTCTGTCCGTATGAACACCTGGATCTCAGAGACTATAAGAGCTAGAGACCCCAAATTTTGCACAAAGATGCCTTATGTGTGTACGCTGTGCAAGTTTATTTTATTTTTTTGATTACCCCCCCCCCCCCCCGCACTTCCACCCTTTGGGCGTTTTTCCGATTTTCCATTCGTATTATCGTCTATATCTCGGAGATATACTATATATGTGAAAAATGTATTCAACAAAAATATATTAGAGAAGTTGATAAAAGCAATTGTTATATTGGAATAATATAATATATTTATTTTTATATCTGAAATGTGTTTTCAAAAAGAAAATCAAATTTATCAAATAAATTATATCGTAAAATTCGCCAGATGAAGTTCGTTCGCTACGTGACGTCATTTTACCAATGAATAATGCAATAATAATAACTTCTGCAATGGACTTATCCCATATATAGTATTGAAAGTTATAGCTTTTCATGAATAGCCAAATAAATAATCAGACGTTTCAGATTCATTAAAATGATATTTTCATTTTATTCAGTAATATTCTTACGAGCTATCAATTCCGCCGCAATTGAAGGAATCGCTGTGCCGCTGATGCCAGTGCCTGTTTCGTTAACGTTAGGACCTTTGGAGGCCACCACTGGTGGATAAGGATATAGCTTTTGGGTAAGGAATGGTGTGTTGGTATTATCCGGTGTGGATGCGGATAGAATTACAAAGTTAGTGCATATTGGATAGCGGGGTACAATATCATCGGGACAATCGGAGCCGGGCTTAGCCCCACTCACAGCCTCAACAAAGCCCGGTGGCGATTCTGTGGGCAATAGTGAGGGATATAATGAATCGCAGACAAAGGCAAAGTTATACTCGTACTTACTGCATTTTTCATAGCTTGGGGGCTTATCGTCGTCTGACTTCACATTTGGCATCAGAGTGGGAAGTTTTGGGAGCTTATCAGTTGGCATTAGAATGGGAAGTTTTGGCCCTTCAACGCTATTTTGCTGGGGCTTGGTGCCAATAATAATGGGCACCGACAATGTCGAGTCACGCTGCACGCCGCCCGTCTTTATAGAAACGACCAAATGGTAGCTCACATCGATGAGGGTCTTGTATCTGGTCGTAGGCGGCATGTTGTGTATAAAAAGAGCGTCGTTGATTACGCGTTTCGAATAACGTAACACTTCACCGATTGGACCATATTCGATCAACACTTTGCTGTCCTCAGTGCGTCTGGTTTTTGGAAAACTCACTGTATACTTAGTGGTCTGTATAAATTGTACTACGACATTATTCACGTCATGACCTTGGGAGCGATTGTCAATCTCCAGCTGGAAGTTCATCATTTGACCGGGCACATATCCACCACAGGGCAGAGAGAGTATGGTAAACACTGCTCCTCCCTTAATGGGCCAACTGCAAAACTCGCTAACGGTTTCAAATTTGAGTGGGGCCTTAAAAAGAAAAGTCATGAAAGGGAAGGTCTTCTATTGTTTAGCCACCGTTCTTGGCCAACTTACCAAAATCTCCGGATACCAGTTTAAATTGTAATTGTACATAACGATGACCTGCCGCTTGTACTCATCATCTCGATGCTCAGGATACTCTACAACCAGGCCCAGTTCATAGAATACCCTGCCGTACTTGGCAATACACGAGTTGGGGGACTTGGCGGGCAGTGGCAAGCATAATTCAAAGATATGCTGGCCCGTTGGCAATTGCTCTTTACGGCACAGCTTTGTGAAGGCCATGACGTAGGAGTCCGAACTATGAACTGTGTCGTCATCAGTTCGCCAATCGTGAAGGGCTAATTTATTCAACCATTCCCTCCTCTCCCAACTCACACACGCTGTGCCCTCGAAGGACACATAAATTGCTGAAAGAAGCATTTGAGACACATACATATATAGGCTTAATCAACGATTGTTGATATACTTAAGGCCTCAGGGTACCCTGGAGATTATGTTTTTTGTTATTTGCATTAAAGTTCTTCATTGCGATAAGTTTTTTTTATAAACAACAACCGGGAATACCCAACCAGCCAACTATTAATTGAAATCCCAGGGGATCTCGGTCGACAATCTTGGGAAATATATTTTTGAAAATGAAAAGAAAAAGCTGCTGCAAAAAAAAATTATCACCACTATGCTTTTTTGGTCAATTTTTTTGGACAATTTTCTGTTATCAAAATGTTGAATATTTCACAAAAATTAGTTACTATGTATGTATTCGACTAATATCTCAATTGAAGAACATTTAAAACAGAGCAGAAATATAACTTTAGAAAAACCAAAAATTTAGTTTGGTTTAAAGTTTAATTACTTTGCGACTTTATAAATTTACCGATTTTTGTGTGGAAGGCAGAGTGTATGGAATGGAAAACATATAGAATTTTCAATTTGTGAAAAAGAAAATGCATTTTTAATCAAATTAAAATGTATGTAATTATAAAAAAAAGGATGTACAAAATACAGTTGCTTATTCAGATGTGAGATGCTCAGAAAATAGAATATTGTTTCATGTTTTGTTTGTTGATTGTGTTTCTATCCACCCTATTGTTATGAAAAGCATTGTGTTTGGTTGACTTACAGTGAACTTCCTTGGTGTACGCCAAATTTAATGTGGCACGTAGGTAAATATTCTCGCCACTATAGAAGACCGGCTCAGGTCGATCGAATTCAAATATGCATGTCGAAGTCATTCTCGCGATAAGTTCTTTAAAAGCTGCTTCAAATTTTCGTAGTTAATTTGAACTCCCTCTGGAATTGGTCGATGGTTGCTTATTCAGCTAGGGTCCGAATGCTTCTGCAATCAAAACTCAAATGAGAGCAAGCGAGCTATGGAGACTTTTAATAATTTTCAATATGATTTTTATGATGTGGTGAATTGGTTTGGGTTATCGCTGTGGTGAAGAGTTGATTTTTCTCCAGAGAAATATTTGCTATGATGAAAAAATATTCTCGGCTTTTATCGGACTCTATTTTTTATAGTCATTGAGATCCAGCCAGGTGGTCATACGGACAGATAGGCAGACAGGGCTAGATTGATTCTTCTTGTCATGCTGATCAAGAATATATATACTTTGAGGGGTCTGTCACGAATCCTTCTGCCTTCTGTATAATTAATTTTCAAAATATTCAAAATGTTATTTTTTTTTTGTTGACGGAATGGGTACAAGGTATAGTATTTAAGAGTTGAGCCCATTCGACTCCAGCATTTCATTCCTGCTTAACTTAATATTTGTCAATAGAAACTACCAAGAAAAAAAATCATATGGGCATCTCTACAACAAATCATTGTTGAGTGCGTGGTAAGGGACAGAGAGCCAGACGGTGGCATCATCAATTGGGAGATCAATGGGAGAGTCTTTAGCGGTCGATGAGTTGTTGCGGAAATGTTAATGTTGAGGAGAATAATTTAAATAAACTTATAAATAAATGGATCTTGGAAATCTCACAAGAAATTTGTTTATAAAACGTTAATTAAATTAGTCATTGAAAACGCATGTATATTTCTGCGATAAATGTATAACTATCTTTCAGTGGAGTCCAAACTATCTGGACACTTACTAGTTCAGACGCTTATAACTCACTCGTAACTCTATAGCTGTATAAAACAGAAATGTAAAATTTACAAAATAACACTATTTGAGTGCCGGGGGCTATTTAAAACTTACTAGTCTAACCGTAGTGTAAGAATGAAATAATAAATAGTTGTGTAAGTGTATTCTTGTTTTTAAGAAAAATTTATAAAATAGTTAAGTAATATATTTCCATTGGAGGCAGATAAGATTTCGTATAACTAATCGGAGGACCCTATGAACTTGCATTCCAACCATAGCCATGAGTATTTGTTGTGGCAGCGGCGCCGGCGTCAGGTGGTGCGGAAGGCACCGCCGAGTTTGAATTAGAAGAGGGCGGTTGCTCTAGCAATGGACTGTCGGGCAAATCATTCGGTGGTGCCGTTGGCATTGCAAAGTTCGTATACATGGGATACTTGGGTATGAAATCATCTGTGCGATTATGTTCATTCACGTCAGTATCCACGAATTTGTCGCCTATGTGGGTAGCCTCCAGGAAGGAGGGTGGCTCTGAAAATATATATCACATTTATTACAATTTTGTGTATAGTAAAAATGTTGATGATTTGGAAACTTACTGCAGTTGTCATAGCTCGGCGGTAAGTCGCCTCCAGCTGCCTCGGGTGTATCCGGCGTCTGTGGTATCCAGATGCTGGCATTTGCGGGATTTTCGGCGCTCTGGACCAGCGGAATGGTGCCAATAATGATTGGAATTTGAATTTCCGAGTCTGTGTGACAATCGCCAGTATTTATGATCATCAAAATGTGATAGCTAACTTGTATGATGCCACTCTCCCGGGATGATGGCGGCACTGGCGGTATAACCAATGTTCCCTTGATAATCCTCTTCGAAAGACGCAGAACTCGCTCAGCCTGACCATCTCTGGTCAATGTGTTGCTGTGTGAGTTGGTCTTCCGTCGCGGGGTTGTGGCCGTGAATGTATAAACCTGATACAGTTTCAGTGCAATACCATCCAAATCGTAGCCATGCGACTGATTATCTACCTCCAACTGATAGTGAATGCGCTGGCCGGGAGCATAGCCACCAAAAGGTATTGTGAGTGTGGAGACGACTGGACCCGATGAACAGGGCCAACAGCAAAAATATTTAATGTCCTCATTCTTAAGCGGCACCTGAAATACAAAGAAACGCATTCAGTAATACCTCGAATTGGGTATTTGGGAGTGCCTTACCAGTAGCTCTGGAAACATATTCAGGTTGTAGCTATGCAGCACAGTTATCGGTTGTTTGAACTCGTTATTGAAACGCCAGGACCTGTCTATCACCAGAGAGACCTCATACGCAATCTTGCCATATTTCTCCACACACGAGGTGGGACACTGTGGTGGTAGAGGAATACAAAACGTGTAGGTATGTGTTCCTGCCGGCAATTCGCCTGAATTGACGACATTGGTGCGAGTATTCAGATACGTTTCAGTGCCCCGAAAATATTCTGTGTAGTGCTCTGTTTTTCCATTCACTGTCCGCGTTTTGCCCTCCTCCCATCGTACTTTAGCCTCGCCTTGAAACAGTATATAGACCTCTGTAATGTAGTATAAGAGATAGATGTGGATATTTAAATTGTCTTATTAATTAAATGATGAAAAAAAGATGATACATATACATACATATCTTGTCTTCTTGTATGTATTAGAATGTAATAAAAACACAATATAGTAATGAAACTCTTTAAAAAAGTAAAGCAGGTTTCGGAGCACGATTATTGCAACTAGATCTTCGGCTACTTGCACTACTTGACAATTATAGAGGAGTACTTCCGATTTATATATAACAGATCTAATATCCCGTCAGCTTATGATTTTGTATATCACATCTCAACCATGTTAAAAAATGTATAAGAGGAAATGGAAAAGTAGTTTTCGAAAAACTTTAGAATGACTTTTTGCATTTATAAAAATATGCGCGTTATCGATTTAAATGTTTCTTAAATATTTAAATTTATCTGATAACTCTCGAAACTTTCTGTGACTTCAATAATTTTATTGTTTTTAATCTTTTTATTTCTTTCTGAATGCCTTCATGCGATAACGAAAATCGAAACGAAAGTAAATCCAACGCTTATTGTCGTTCGCAGCTTGCCAAAATTCAAAATATTCGAGTATATATACAATTTATGAGTGTCCGTTCTTCACAAAAAATAACATCGATGTGCATCTACATACATACATACATATGTACTTACTGTATATATTTAAAAAATATTTGGTTGAGCCAAATATAAAATTGCGCGGCTGTCACCAAATATTTTAGTACGCAGGGCTTAATGGGATCATTTGAAAATAATTGGCATGTTGGTTTGTTGTTTGCAGTTAAAAATAATAATGATAAAGATAAGAAGTATATAGGTTTTAAATAAAATAATTTGCTAAGACTTATGTGTATGGCGGAAATGTGTAGCTTGTTCTTCTTAACATTGAGATAAGAACTTACACGGGTGATTCATTCTGAAGGCATTCCGATGCCCACATGCATGTGCACATATGTATGTACATACATACTTCTATGTATGTTTTTATTGTTCCTTTTTTAGAACAACTTTAAAATATATAATTAAAATATACCAGTTTCGAATTCTCCAATACGATTATTGCCTGACTTACCATTCACACTCTTATTGGAGTCCGTGTGCAACACAATACGCCCATTGATGGTCTCTCCGCTGTAATAAACCGGCTCGGGCCTATCGAATTCAAATGTGCATGTGGATGGCATCACAACAACGCGATAATATTTGTGGCAAAGCAGTGGCCGACACGCTTTGTCAATTATGATTTTTTATAACAAAAATAAATTTGTTGATCTCTTTCTCACGTGCCGACTGCTGCTGGAAACCAAGTCTAGTGATATCACAAAAGCGTCCCAGCCGACGGCACAAAAGAAACTGCCCGACAAATACAATTTCTAAAAGTCAGCAAACAATTTTTGAGTGCGAAGTAAAGGGCAGAGAGCCGAACCGTGACATCATCAATTGAGAGCGTAAATGCTAAGCGGGAGGGTTGCCGCGTTAGCAGTAGTCGACTCGTGTGAGCGTCCGACGCCTCATGCGATATAATATTCAGAGCACTCGACAACACGGCACAGAGCACAACGCTGAGCATCGGAGAGAGCTTTAGGCTTTAGGCTGGTCCCTAACATGAAGTGGAGCTGTTGCTTTGTTGTTGTACAGCAGTTTGATTGTTACGAAAATGTTGGCTAAAACGAGTGGCGAATGTAAACAAAGTTAGCAAAGAAGGGAAAAGAGAACTGAATCGAAGGTTATAAAAGCAACCGCACTATTTATTTGCCTTGCTTAATGAAAATTATATTATAAAAACAAAATGCTTTAAATAAAACGGCCCTTGGCAATAAAAAATGTAGCTTCGCATTTATCGTTCCTATGGCAACAGGTGCTAAGTCTAGTCGAATAACTTAAATAGATTCGTATGTATGTATGTATTTTAAAAATATATGTACAATATGGACAGATCGGCACTTGACAATTCGAACAGTGCGTTCGAACATACTTTAATTGTTATCGGAGACTTTAAAATCACCGCGTTTTTTTTTTGTCAGCGCAGAAATCCTCATACTTTGTTTATTTGCTTTGTATTTATTTCGAAAACAAATACGTTTTCATCTGAATCTAGTATCTGCTTAAACCACAAATATTAAAATATAAAAAAACCTATTAGCGTAATCAAGGCAGAAGAAAAGATTATCAATTTTTTTTTTCTGCTTAAACAACATTTCAGAAATAAACAAATGACATAAATGACATCTTAAAAATAAGTATTTACTTTTAGTTTTACCGATATTTAAACATTTCCCGTGTGTGTTCGGCTTATCCAAGCTATACTGCAGGTTTCATTTGCCTTTAAATGTTCTTTCTATTTATTTGCTTCTATTTTTAGTTAATTTAGCTATATTTGTTTTGCCGTTGTTTGAGTTCGTATTTGTTTTTTTTTTTATTTACTTCAGTTTTTTTTTACGAGATTTGTGATTGTCTGAACATTAATCATAGTGCTAAAAAGCAGAAGCTTGAATAAAGCTTAATGTTATCTAATCCAAAATTTAATAATTTGTTCACGCATTTTTTAAAAATTGTTGCTTAAGCTACATGATTTCTCTAGACCTTCTTCTTCTTCAGTAAATGTATGTATTTTTTTCAAATTTGTCAATTAATTTGATTATCATCTTTTTGATTATTTGATCTATTAAGCTTATTTTACCGCACGGAGCTGTTAAATGTGACTGAAACGCCCTTAAAAGTCTTAATTAATCAAATAGCCTTTCTCACAATTTAATAAATAAAACAATTTAAAAAAGCTGGCGCTTTTTATATAAATAAGTGATTCGTGATGCAATTGTGACATTAGCTTTAAAAGGAATATGAATACTTTTTAGGTGATGCCAAGCCATATTCTTTTGAATTTGGATTTCTTTTGTATTTTATATTTATTTACATATTTAAATAAGTATAATATTTGCGAGTTGGCTGTAAAAAGTAAATAGAAAAAAAAAGCTTGCAATTATGGTTGTTCAAATTATTTGCCTGTCTGAACACAACTTAAGCGGATCTTCAAACATTTCGGTACTTCTTCCAAGAGTGTTAAAGCTGCTAACAAAACTGGCAGCTGACATGTTTATGTGCTTGTTTATTTACTTTAGCCTTCTCCGTAACACAGTTTCCGTTTATACATGTACATATATACAAAGCAGGGTACATAAGGGGGTACTTGGGCATGCATTTAGCTAAGAAAAAAGATTGCAGCGATAAGATACGGGAATGGCTAGATAGGCGCTGCTTAAATCTCCACTGGGGACTCAACTGGCTGCTTCTCCTTCGCCACTTCCTGTTGCTCCTGATCGGGCACGGTTGGGGCCTTGCGGCGACGACGACGGCGTCGTTTCTGGGGCGGATTGGGTGGAGGGCTTTGGAATGTGTCCACATCGAAGACAGGGTAGCGGGGCGTGAATCGCGATGCCTCGCACACAGTATTCACATCAGTGTCTGCTATATCGGTAGTCATAAACATTGCTTCCTCATATGTGGGCGGCGCTGTAAAAAGGCATTACAAGTTTCAATTATAGCCAACTAAAAACAGTAATCAAGTGACACTATATCCGCGATTTACGCTATAAAATGGTTGGGTCAAAGGCCATTTAATAAACTTACGCATTTCGGGTACGAATTCCTCCTCCGTTTCGAGCTCGTCGTCGCCATCTTCGGGCATGGCATAATCGTCGAGATCGTCGGAAATTTCAAAGGCAGCATTTCCCACACCCAGGTCCGAGCTAGGACTGCGTACGGCCAATGCCATGGCACGAGCGGAGGTGCTGGGCAAGTCTGCTGGCAAGGGCGCCACACCCGCCAGGGCCAGTGGCACATTGCCAATGGTAATGGGCACCACCACTCTGGGGTTGGCCATGAGCCAATTCATCACCGCCACCACACGCACCTCATAGGAAATACGCACGACCTTGCTCAGATGCTCACAGGTGGGCGCTGTGGCCGGAATACGCAAGGTTTCGGCAAAGGACTTCTGCGAATGATGCGCCACTCCGCCGCACTCCTTCTTCAGTAGCAAAATCTTCTCGGAGGTGGTGCGCAGGGCGGGCACATCGGCCATATAGCTGGCCCGCAAAAACAGCATTATGTACATTTTTTTGCAGTCCGCGCTGGAATTGTTGTCCACATCGGCATTCACCAGCATGAACTGGCCGGGTACATAGCCCTGTTGTTGGAGCGTCACCTGCAGCCGAACCGGCTGTGCGTGCAAAAGGCAGAAATACTCCAAGCCCTCACTACTGGCCGGCTCCCGCAGCATCTTGCTTTCCGCATTCAAATCGAGCAACTTGAGAACTGTGAAGCCGACGTTGTGGGTGCGGTTCGAGGCACCGGAACGTATAAAAGTGACCTTTGCCAAGTAGCGTATGTGTCCGAAGGCACCCTCGAAGGACGAGGGGCAGTTGGCGGGTATGGGACAGGCAAAGTTGAAATTATATGTGCCCGCATCAACGGTAAAGTTTGAACCCTGGTCCGAGCCCATCAGAAATGTCGTCGACGATATGTAATCCTCCCGTCCCATGTAGACGTGCTTGCGACGACGTCGTCTATCGTCAGTCGGTACGACTCGACGTCCTTTTGCCCGCCATTGTGCGCAGGCAAAGCCACTGATTTCTAGCTTAATGCCTGCAAAGTACAAAGATATCTATTAAAAAATGTCTAATGTTAAACAAACTAATGTATGATATACAGTGAAAACTCCCTTAATGGACACCTCTTTTATCCGAACACTCTCTTCGGCGGACAGTTTTTCTAAAACATTCGATCGGTATGAAGTATTTAAGTATCCCCTTAAGTGGACACTCCCCTTCGGCGGACAAAAATTGGCCGACCGTCAGTGTCCGGCAAGAGAGTTTTCACAGTACTAGTTAACCGATTTGGATCAAATTATAGCGACGCATAAATATCATATATAGCTAAGATATCTTAAAAGAAGCATGGCATTCATTTTTTGTGTAATTACTCTTTAATAAAAACGTTTTTAATGAGCCACAAGAGGCCTTCAGCATGAAAAGAGAACGACTATAGAAGACACATAATTGTAGCACACCTATTCATATACTCGTACATACATACATATGTATCTAACAATGACTAAGATTTGTAGGCATTTCCTGAACTTGAAAGTAAAACTGAAAATATTGTGTAGAGCCCTCTGATTATAATGGGAGAGGCATGCCAAACTTTTTTCTAGCTATTACGTTTTATTATTATTTTTTTGTGTGTTCCATTAATTATAAAGCATTGCTGTCTAGGGAAATCTTTGCTTATCTATACATTATACATTTTGTGCGATTACACAGAAACAAAATCCCCCATTGCCGGCGATAAGATAACACTAGAAGTTAACTAAAAAGACTGCATAGCCATCCAATAGTTCTTGCTGATAGATGCAGTGAGGAAAAGAGCTGAAAAAAGCATCGAAATTAATTTATTTACATACCTCGCAACTTTTTGGGTTTGTTAAAATTTACTAACACCTTGCCGGTTACAACTTGGCCCGTGAAATAAGTTCCGTGCTCATTTTGATCAAAAGTTATCATGCAGTGTTTGGACATTTTGTTTTTGTTTTTATGAGACTTTTCGTTATTGTTTTCGAATACCAGCGGCCAACGAACTGAGCGTACCGCACACGCTCACTGCTGAACGGCAACTGAGCGAACCTGAAGTTAATACATTTGGCCCAAACCGACCTGGTTGGACTTTATCTTATCGCGTACAAGCGCTAGAATTCCCTGTAATGCCAAATGTTTGGCCAAAGTCAATGGGTGAATGGGTGTATCTACTCGTATATACAACGTTTGGAGAACGCTGCCAGGTGAGCGAATATCTAACAGCCTGTTCAGGTATAATGCAATCATTGCAGATCTTTGCCTCTTTTCGCCTCTATTTCCAATTATATTGTTTTATTTGTAGTTGATTTATACAGGTTGAGAGAGACAAGACTCGTTCGAGTGCAAGTCGCCCTCCGCATGATTTTACAAATGGATCGTTATAAATTTGTGTATTATGATGTCACATACCTGTTGGAATACATGTCTTTGAATTTAATATTATTATCAATTGCGCATATACTTGGTCAGCTATTAAAAAATGTACATCTGAAACAACTTTCACTAATTTATGCGCACGTACTTTTATACTTTTTTTTTGCAGATATACATGTTAATAGCTGTGTTTGAAGAAGTGCCCATCGCTTAGTCACCCATAAACTAAAAATATTTGTTATTGCTTAAATGAATAGACTGTAGCTTAAAAGCAGATAGTGGGTATTATTAGTTTTGTTCCGCCAACTTGTTGCATTAAAGTTAAAGAGCACAGTTAACATTTTACAACTCACAAAAGTGAAACAGATGTAACAGCAATATTTTCACAATATCATTTATTGATTTTTAGGAGTGACTTAAGCATTAATTTGATAACGTATTGGTTAGAGTTGAAATATAAATGAAAGATTCTGTTACATACATGCATGCATATATATACATGCAAACATACAGGTGAAGCTAATAAAAGCGTGTTAATAACAAATGGTTTGCTATTGTGTTTACATTGTTTCTGTTAAGCAACCCCTGTTAGCTGTTGCTGCTAAAAGCGACTGTTACTGCCTATGTTAAAAAGGCTGTTAGTGTTGTGTGTACAGTGCAATAACAGTCCCTGGCTCTGTTTGTTTCTTCAATAACAGGTGGTGAAAGGGACTGTTATTAAATGATTGAGTGACTAATGAATTGACAGAGTAACTTCCACTTATGAAGCTGTTTCCAGGCCGTAATTTTTGAAATATTGATAAAAGAAATTACAACGAATATAGAAAGAAATAAATATAAATTATACATACTATGTGTATTATATGTTGCTTTTAATTTTTTTATTTGTAACTTTTTATAAAGTAGTTAGTGGAGCTGGTATTAAAAGTTAAATATATTAGCCTTCATTAATATGAAATGCTTGAAAAAGGGGGCTGAAGTTAGTTACTACGGAACGGTATATCAAGTGAAAAGAGCCCTCAAAGTATTGTCCTTAGTTATAAGCCCCTAAATACCTATAAAATCCGGTATACTTTTCCAATCATATCGCATATGCACATTGCATTTAATACAGGCTAAGTACCTGTAATTTAGCAACTGCCGAAGCAATGAATGTGCAATCAATGAACTTATATGACAAGTAATCGTCAAAGAAATAAATATTATTATTATATGACAAATAAAAAATTCATAACATTCAGAAAAAGCACATTTATTATTCAATAGCTTGACTGTACTTGCATATAATTTTCGTTGCAATCTCAAATTTTAAAAATGTAATCATAAATAAAAAACAAACACTATTTTATTTTTCCTAAGTACAATAAAATTGTATAATATTTATAAAATATTTGGAACTTTTTAAAGAATGGTTTATATTCTCAGCTGATTCGAACACCGAATAGTCGAAATATCGGTTACATCAACCAAACTTTCAAGTTCGGTTCAACTTCAAGAATACTTCTAAAGTTGGTTTTTACGCTAAATATTTAATCTGGGTTAGGCTGAAATGTATGAAACTTTATTATATATTTAAGGAAGCAGTGCATTTAGTGAGGGTGAAACTTTCGTAGGGGTGGAAAATGTAAAGTTCAGGGGTGTTTTTAGCAAGTGATGTGCTATACACCCAGAGAAATCTAGCATAAAGTTCTGTTTTCACTGGCTTTTGTATAAGAGAGGTATTTAAAAAGGTAAATTAATACGAGTGTGCATTGCCTTTAATAAAATATTCAAAACTGATTTTGAAAAGGTAATTTAATAAATATCTTAAATTAATTTAGTTTTATAATGTGCTAAGAGAGAAAAAAACCAATTTTGAAGTTAATAGAGGATGATAAATTCATCTTTTTCATATAAACGTCGTCCCCATTTGGAGTTCGAGTTTTCGCAAGTCGCTCCTTTGTGCTCACCTACACTTTGGAACGAATCTTGCATATAAATATTACCTACCTAGCTGTAGTATACTAATTATTGTGGTGACTATATTTTTCTCTAAATGTATCGACAGTGTAAGAACATCGATACACTGAAAGAATAAAGTGATTACCTCAATAATCTGAATAGAGATAAGCATAACGTAAGGTCTCCCAAAGGTAGTTTCAAAAATAAATAATTTTAAAAATTATTCTTTATTTGACATATGTTTATATAATAATTTATAATTTATAATTTTTTGAAATATATGGTTTATAAATTGTTTCTTAACCTTTTATAATCCTCATAACATTTTACTTGCAACTTTATATTGTGATGAAATTAAACTAATAAAAGTTCATATGAAATTGGCTTAAAATCTGCTTATGTACACTTTATTAACAATGAATGCATATTAATATTCCTTTCTAAGAATTTCACCTATTCAAACCAAAGCAAAATCAGAATTCACATTTTTTTAAGAATGCATTTCTTTCTACAATGCAAGATTTCTCTGTGTGTATAGCACACCACTTGCTGGAAACACCCCCGGACATTAAATATTTTCTACCCCCACGAAAATGTCTCCCTCACGGTCGACTTTTGCACACTCTGCAAGAAATGGTTCATTTTTTTACTTATTGGCCTCAAAAAATATGTTTTTTGTTTTTTATCAATTTTGATTATCTGATATATTATTCCATTTAATAAACGATCCAAAAATTTGGTGCTCTTAGCTTTTGAAATATACAAGTTAGGAGTATTTTTACATTTCTATAGTGTTGCATGGATTCTCACAAAAGGTACACACCCTCGTCTCTCCAATTATAGGGTATAAATGCACTGCTTGGTGAAATATATAATAAAGTTTCATATCTTACAGCCTCACCCCGATTTAATATTAAGCGTACGCAACAACCTTAGAACTATTCTGGAGCTGGAACAGCGCATGCGTTCACTTTTCAAAAGTCTGGTTGATGTAACCGATGTTTCGACTATTCGGTGTTAGAACCGGCTTTGGACTGGGCATACTATAAATGGGGTACAAGGGGGCGAATTCGTTGGCTCCGAAGGCGTGCAGTTCCTCCTCGTTGATGTTTCCCCGCACCGTGTATTTCGACTCCTCATATGCGGGGGGAGCTGTTGGAGGAAAATGTTAATTTTCGGGGATGCTGACGATAAACTGTATTCTTACGTATATCTGCGGAACTGGGGGTTAGCTGATTCGGCACATTGGCTATGGCCGTTACTATGGGCAGTTCATCGTTCGAGTTTCTGTTCGATGGGGCCTCATAGTGGGCGCTCCGACGGGGCGGTTGCTGAACCACCACGCCAGCCACGGCCAAGGGTATGGTGCCGATGGTAACTGGCATGGTCATCACCTGCTGCTCCCGCAGGCTCTTTATCAAGGCCTCCACTTCCAGCTGGTAGGCGACTTGTATCAGATTGCAGAGACTGAGGCAGGTGGGGGGAGTGGCCGGCACCAGCAGATCGATGGTCATGGAGCGAGTGCTTTGACGCAGCACGGAGTCGCCTTTGGCCTTGCTAACCACAATGCGCTCCACCCGCGAGTGCTCGGGAGTGACGCTGAAATAGCGAATGAGCATGACGAGCGAGAGACGCAGCTCCGAAACAGCCACACCGGTATTATTTATGACCACCACAGTCACGGGAATGCGTTGTCCGGGCACGTAGCCCGCTTGCGGCAGATGCAGCTCCATTTTTAGCGGCTCTGTCTTGCAGGGGCCACAGCAGAACGTGCGATAACCCTCGCTATGGGCAGCCAACTGTGGGAACAATCATTGTAGGTATAAAAAGGATATTCATCCAGATACTTGCCTTCAGCTGTGGCGTCTCGAAGTTCAAGTCCATCATCTTGAGCACTGTGAAGCCGTGCGTGTAGGCCTGATGGAACTTCCAGGGCCGCAGCAGCTCCACTTTGGCTATATAGCGTATGCAGCCATAGCGTCCCTCAAAGGACGAAGGACACTGATAGGGCAGTTGGCAGGCAAAGTTGTAGGTGTGAACGCCCGCACTTATGGTGAGTCTGTCAGTGTCTGCCACAAACAATAACGACTCTGACATGTGTCCAATCTAAATCTCTTGCTACTTACTCTGCTCGGAGCCCAGCAAATATGTGACGGACGATAGATAATCCTCCCGACCTGCATATAGTTTGGTCGTCGCTCTGTGCCTTTCGGACCATTTTGTTACAGAATAGCCCACAATCTTAAGTTGTATGGCTGGCGGGAAAGCAAAAGAGAGACGTCACACATTTCAATTATTATCTTTGTTATAAGTTAATCTGCACCTTGGCAGCTGATAAGGCTCTTGTCACATAAATAAAAACATTTATAAAACATTGCAAAATGCTGAAGCCGTGAATCATTTGTGCAAAAAGCGGAGATTCCACACAATCCAGACTTGTTCTCAAAAATCTACAAATCAATTACCCGAATTATGTTTAATCAGAAATTGGAAAAGGTATATTCGATAAGCATACTATTATTATTGTTAATGACATTTTATGGGATTTGACTTTAATCGGACAATAATGGAGCATTAATTACCAAAGTGTTGGCAATAATATAGCAAGTACATACGTGCTTCAAGGCATGTTAAAAAGACACGTCAATAAGCTCAAGTCCGTTTTTCGTTAATTATTAAAGAATTAAGAGCGAACATTTAAATTTAATTTAAGTTCGCAGCGATCTTCAACTGCTTTCTACTGCTCGGTCGTTAGACTGCTTTGTTGTGCAGTTTACATTTCAAACGGTTAAAAAGACAATTGCACTCATACTCTGTCTCATAATCAAATACTGCTTGGGAGTTTCCTTTAAGCTGGATTTAAAAAATTAAATCTAAAATATATTTTGTATATTATTTTTAAAATTGACGCTCATTTATGTAATCAAACAATGTCAACATAAAAAATGATTAACAATTATGAATTTCTTTCTTTTCTTGAAAACATCAAATATGTCAAAATTTTCTGTAGAAGAAACAGTATCGTTAAGTTTTGTTTGTTGGGCGACAGCACGCAAATAAATATACCCTCAGTATTTACACTAAAGAATGCCTTAAAGAGTCAATGTCGTCATACATAAATATACGCAAATGCTATCACTCAAGGTTCTATGGGTTTATATAATATATGCCTTATCGAGCAAAGAATTTATAATACAAGCGATTAAATGTGACAGGCGCACATTCCTTAAACACATTGATTGCAAAAACGGGTTAATTATGTGAATATTTTTTATAACAATGCGATCTACTCTTAATTACATATATACGAGTATATACCTTGCACTTCCTTCACTTTATCGGACTTTAAAGTCACACAACCGCTCACGAGCTGGCCGGCATAGAAGACGCGCTGCTTGTTATTATCGAAGCTGATCTCACACGTTACAACCATTTTCGCAGAGTTGCCAGCAAGGTGTGAGAAACTATATTCTAAAAAATATGAACCGACTGCGATTTTTAACGCGAAAACAAATGCGAGTCTGCCGCATGGGGCTGGACAACTGATTCCAACTAAATTAAGTACAGACCAACCGCCTTGGTGTGACATTTGTTGTTTGTGCTGCTGCTGAATTAGATAAGCGATAAGGCCGGCTAGTGTTAGCAGCCACAAGCGATATACTCGTAAAATGGCACTGAAATATCAGTATAAGAGTCTGAAGGCACCCTTCACACCATGTGCGCCGCAAGAGTCAAAGCGAGTTGTGGGGCTCTTATCGCGACTTCTACATAGCCTTGACAATGGACGTATGGGGTGTGTTTATATTTACAAAAAACTCAAGAGTACTCTAGAGTTAAAAAGTAAAATGGTGAGAGCGAACAGAGAGGAAGAAGAGAAAGGAAAGCTTTTTTTTAAATATGCAAGTGCTCGTAATCTACGATCAGATAGGAATGTCCGAACTATGCCAGTTAATGTTCTTTTATTCAAAATAATTTCAAGGATATTCAAACAATAACAATGCTTCCTTCGACTATCAAGCTGTTTATGATTTCAAATTCATGTTATACTACGATTTGTGTACAAAATATTTGAGCGTAGCATTACGATTTTTTGCTATTTTTAAACTATTATGAGTCCGTAGAGAGTCTTAATGATAAGAGTTTCTTTGAATATAATGATGGAGACCGGATTTTTGTTCGAGCTTTTTCGAGCTAATTTATTTTATTTTTATAACAACGCCGGCATCTGTAAAGTGTTACTTATATATGAATGTATTCTAATTTTATTTATGAAAACTAACTAAACTTAAATTCATGAAAATATTTGTAAATTTATTTACTGAATCCAGTAAATCAAAGGTTTGAGTTAATATTTATTTGATAACATCCTACAACCTAATACAAAATCTTAAAAAATTGAGCTGGCTATTTTGAAAAGCTCAATTTTTCCCCCCTTTTCGGCAGAATTTCCTAGCGAGTTTCTGCAAACAGCTGCTTCAATAGAAGTCCGATTTAATTGGGAATTTCACGATTTCATTAAAATATTTGTAAATTTATTTATTAAGTCAAGAAAGTCGAAGTTCACATTCAGGTATGATTACATTCTAATACAAAATCTTTAACAAATCAGCTGGATGCTTGTACAATGAACATACATAAAGAATAATTTTTGAATAGCTCCACCTATTTTTCGTTTTCGGCAGAATTTCCTACCAAGCTCCTGCAAACAACTCCTTCAATAAAAGTCCGACTTAGTTGGGAATTTCGCGAACGGAAGAAGAAGAATAAGAGCTTGACTGAATATTTAACTGAAAGTTTGCATACAAAAAGTGTCTTCAAAGGCTTATTGGTTTTATTTATATTCTAAGTACAAGTATTTATATTCCCTGCGTTTACAAAGAAAAGGCCATCCCCATACCAACTCGAATATAAATATGGTATATAATAAGTAGTACGACCCTCAGAAATGTTGACATAATTATCATTATTTGCTTTTCATTACCAAACAAAAACTTTAAATTAATCATTCATATCATTTATAGATTGTGGCACCACCATCATTGTTTTATAGACTAGTTGTCTTCACAGCCAAGTTCCTTTGTCTCCTTCGGAGTTGGGATTTGCAACTCCACCCAATGGCATGTTGTTCTGCTCCCAGTCTACAGGTGCCGTGGGGCTAGGTATATTAAAGACTGGATAGAGCGGAGTGAAGCCTTTGCCATCCAAAGGCAAAGTGTTTGGACGCTCTCTGTTATCGGGCTCGGTCGAGGCAGCTGCCTGGGCATCACGCATATGCAAGGCAGCCTCATAGTTGGGTGGAGCTGTAAATAGAAATAAATCAAATAAAGGCCGCTTTTTAAAAGATTTTCAAGCACTTACGTATGTTGGGATCTACAGCCCATGGCTGGGACACCTCTCTAAAGCCGATCTCATTTGCTGGAGCCCCACCACCTTCCAATGTGTTCACGTCCAGAGGTTGGGGCATCATGCCACGTGGCTGGTGAATCACCTGTTCGGACAAAGGCACGCTGCCAATCGTCACTGGAATGGCTAGGGTCTGATTCATGTGCAAGCCCTTGACTTTGGCTTCAAGTTCCACTTGATAGGCGATCTGTATGATCCGACAAAGATTGAAACAAGTAGGCGGCGTGGCCGGCACGTGGAGCTCGTAAGTGAATTGCTTTTTGCAATGTCGCAGCACTTCGTCGCCCTTCAACTTGCTGACCACGATGCGTTCGTTCTTGGTGCGGATATATGGTCCCTGGGAGTAGTAGCAGACCAGCATGGCCAGTCTGACCTTTAGTTCCTCCACTTTAATGGCACTGTCGTTAGTCACCAGCACACCAACTGGAATATTTTGGCCAGCTACGAAGCCAGTTTGCGGCAAGGCTAGTTGCAGAACGAGCGGCTCAGAGCGACAGGGCCAGCAGCAGTAAGTCTTTTGGATTTCTGTGTGCGCCGGCATCTGTAAAGTGTTTCGAATATCAGTACTAATTACGCATTTAAACCATATATTTCAGTTTCCCTCCACTTACACGCAACAGCGGACTGTCATAGTTCAGGTCCATCACTTTCAAGACCGTGAAATAGCGACTGAAAGTATTATCGAACTTCCAGGGGCGCACCAAGGCAACCTTCACGGCGTAGCGCACTCTTCCAAACGATCCCTCAAATGATGACGGACATATGGCGGGTATTGGGCAGGAGAAGTTGTAAGTACGAATTCCTGGCTCAATGGAAATCTGTGCTGTAATTGGATGAGAGATTATTATGGAATCTCAAAAGGGTAGTTGCGTTCACTTACAAGGATTTGCATCGGAGCCCATTAGATATGTCAATGAAGCCAGGTAGTCTTCACGTCCGTGATAGGTTTCTGAGCTCTCCTTGCCATTTGTGGTCGATGATTCCGACCAACGGGTCTCAGCATAACCACTTATGGTCAGCGAAATGGCTGAAAATTGTGAAAAGAATGTGGAACGGTTTGTTATTCGATTAATCAAAGAATATATGGATTTTCAACAATTAATCTACAAGTAGTTCTAATGAAGGTTCATAATTTGATTCAAAAGTTGAGCGCTTTCCCAATTCAAATTGTTGACTGCTTGCATTTATTTAATGGTGAATGAAAGGTCTGAAAGGAAAGTCTATTCTTATTGAAAGAAAACAGTTTTCCTTGTTCAAAAAAAAAGGATATTTTGTCCCTTCCTTCGTATATGTACATAAGAGTATATCCAATATTGCAGAAGGACCAACAGCGGATAGTCGACAGTCGATAGCTCAAAAAAAGTAGCGGCATTGTTCTTCAAATTGTTAAATTTAAATTTGTTTATAGAATCAATGCACGATTAGAACTGAAGCATAATTTGCTTAGCTGCCTACAATACTTGGCACATACTTTTTGGCAGCTATCCTAAAAAGGCAGCAAACATGTTGATCCTGTACATGAGCTTTGTTTTACCTTTTTTAGATATTAACAATTAATTATGTAAATATATACATACAACTATGCATGCAAGGAAACTCAAAACTCACTTTTAAAACATTCTATACTGAATATAAAGGCGCTGCCTAATTTGAGAAAATGTTTCATAGATGGCGCTGCTAACTCTTAGAATATTCTCAGAAATGCACCAACTCGTTATCCTGCCAGAAGGAAATCTCATGCAGCTATCTTGCCGATGCAGGTAAGAATTGGGACAGCTAAGTAAATTATACTGTATTTTTAACCGAACAATAAATGGTACAATAAATGGTACAATATTTTATAACTATTTGTTTATAACCATTGACAAGGCTATTGAGATGATGTCACAAATATAAAGGCACTACCTAATTTGAAAAAATGTTTCACAGATGGCGCAGCTAACAAATTTAATATTCACAGAAAATGACAGCCGTTTTGTATATACTTGCATGTATGTATTTTCACTGAACATGCAATAAATGTTACAATAAGTATTTTATAACTATTTATTTATAACCATCGGCAAGGCGATTGCGATTATGTGATAAACGGAAAATCACACTGAAATGTGTCATTATCAGCCAGTAGTGGGAGCACGTGCCTCAACATAGCCATACATGCATATATTTGCAGCACTTGACTATTTATAGGATGACTCATTTCTATAGAATGGTATCCTACTTGATCTAAAGTTCACCCTGTGGGTGCAAATGATTAGATAATAATTGCAATGACTCACGACCATATTCCTCCTCCATGAGATATTTAGAGACGTTTGTTGAGTACAACGTCAGGGTCAACTAATTCGATTTAAAAATCTATTCAAACATGTTCATATTAGCTATGATTGTTTGAATTTTGCATAAATTTAAAAATAATATACCAATAGTGAATAAAACTCTCGTTTACCTTTTACATATTTGACCTTATCCAACGACAATGTAACGCGTCCGCTAAGAACTTGGCCCGCAAAATATGTGCCGTACGGATTATTATCAAAGTCGATTACACATGTCACTGCCATGGCGGTTGAGGCTTAAAATATGACTGACTGATTGATATTTCTGCTTTGGTTTTAACTTGTTGGCACTTTTCAGAAGAGACGCTCTTGAATTTGGCGCGCTGTCAACATTTCAGTTCGTTTGCCAGAAACGTACTGAGAGCCAAACAATAATTTGGTTTGGCTTTTGCAATAGTGGACTGCTTTTATCTTATCGGCCTGACAATAAAAAAGAGCCAAGTAGGCAAGCACCGAAGCTAACAGAGAAGAGTGGAGTGACGCTTTCGTCAGAATTCAGTATCGTTAGCCAAAAAAAAAAAAGAGGGCTCCTCCAATACTGCCACATGTGCTTGGCCTTTCGATCACCTTTTGAGAGCACAGCTGATTACACTAGCCGACAAATTTGGGAAACTATTCTAATGATAAATCTATTTAATCTTACACATTCTAATGATTCAGAAAACTACTCAAAGAGGAGTTGATTTAAATACAATATAAATGAAAACATTTTTATTAATAAATTGTATTTTCCTATATAAATTGTGGTAGTTGAAAACTAAACTTGTTATAAGAATTTTTATTATTTTGTTGTTGTTGAAAACTTAAGCTAATAATAAGGATTGTATTCAGAATTTTGTAAAAACTGAAATACAGATAATAATAATAATTCCACAGTTTGAATTACAGTGGCAGACAAACGAAGAATAAGCAAGTATTGCTTAATATTTTTCAGATTTTAAGATGACATCTTACATCTTATATCTCTATATCTCCATCATTGTGTGTTTTGGATAAATGCGAATTTATTTATTTATTTGATTATCTATGCCTTCACAGCCAAGTTCCTTTCTCCTCTTCGGTTACTGGAGTGGCCGCTTCATTTGAGTTCAGGCGGCTCGCTTCCCCTTCCGCAGTGGGGCTAGGAATGCTAAAGACTGGGTAGAGCGGAGTAAACGTTTTGCCATCTAAGGCCAAGTTATTTGGACGCTCCACACTATCTGCTTCACTTAGGGGAGTTGGCTGGATGTCGAGCATATAGAGTGCAGCCTCATAGTTGGGGGGAGCTGTGAATGGAAGACAATTGAAGTAAGAGGCGGGAATTGTTTGCGCGAACTCACGTATATTGGGATCCACAGCCCACGGTCGAGACACATCTCGCAGGGGAAGGTCATTTGTGGCATTGGCAAGAGTCTGCACGTCGAGGGCTTGTGGCGACACGCTGCAGCATTGCGGAGGCACCAGCTGGGACAGAGGCACACTGCCAATCGTGACTGGAACGCTTACGATTTGATTCGTGTGGAAGCCCTCGACTGTGGCCTCCACCTCCACTTGGTAGGCGATCTGTATGATCCGACAGAGAGTGAAGCAAGTGGGAGGCGTCGCCGGCACGTGCAGCTCGTAGGTGAACAGCTTGTTGCAATGCCGCAGCACTCTATCGCCCTTCAGCCGGCTAATCACGATGCGGTCCTGTCTGGTGCGCACGAACGGCCCCTGGGAATAGTAGCAGATCGACATTACGAGGGAAATGTCCAATGCGTCCACGTTAACGGCACTATCGTTGGCCACCAGCAGGCTCACTGGTATGTCTTGGCCCGGAACGAAGCCAGTTCGTGGCAGAATCAACTGCAGAGCGAGCGGCTGCGAGCGACAGAGCCAGCAATAATAACGCTTTAGGATTTCTGCATGGGCTGGCATCTGTGGAATAGGTTTGTGAAGCATTCAACTAGTTGCACATACTCTGATAAAAAAGCTGCACAGTAATGATGAATTAAATGTAATGCTCTACTATTTCATATTCTAATTAAATATAGACAGCGTACATTTAGATAAAAACATTTTCAATTACTGATTTAAATGTGAATAGCAAGCTTAGGAGGCGGTTTTCCCCCCTTTGGAGCTGGAATTTTCTAATCGCCAGCCTATGAAAGGATACTTGAGTACAAATTTCAGCTTCCTAGCTTTTTTGGGCTGTGCGTTGATCACCAATCAATCAGCCAGTCAGTCAGTAAATCCTTGTCATTAATTTAATGTTGGACTTTTTTAATTTTAATGTGCGCCCACTTAAATAGTTAAATTAACTATATTCCATAGTTAATTTTTATTATTTTTCTCAACTTTCATTTGACGTTTTTTGCAGTAGATTTAAATATACTAGAAATTTATTACAAGTATATTATTGATTGTCTCGAAATTATTAAAATTATTGAGTTTGTTTATCTACTTTTTTCTGAGAAACTATTGTTCAAGATTATAGGCATGAATTTAAAAAGAAAAAGTACTTTGAAACGGGTGAGAAATAAAACTAAGAACTAACTACAAATATAGCTCACAAAATATCTTAAATACTATTATTTATAATCAAATATCGTAAACTTTATGACTAGATGACTAGAATTCTCAATTCAGTTTTCAGCGGTTCTGTGTAACTCATTGAGATACACCGCCGCTCAACTGAATAGGTTCAACGATTCTCAAAAACGAAAATAGTTGTATTTTTTAAACAAAATTGTCAATAGGGATCAAATAAAATTTGCTAGAGAGAATAGAATAATAGAGAATAGGGCTTGACAACAATGTTTCCATTTTTTTTTTTAATTTTTTCAAAAATATAACCTAATTTTCAAATTTATTTTGGGTGAATTGAATAGGTTCAGTAATTTAAAAACTAAAAAACAAATAAGAAACGCATTTTTCATGGCTTTGGTAATTTAAATTGCTAAAAATATACTAATTAGGAGTAATTAAGTATTTAGTACTTCCCCCTTTGTTTGCAATAACTTCAAAGATTCAAAGATTGATCGTTAGGGATGAGTCGAGTAAGGGTATTCAATCAGCTTTACCTTCACTTTCGATATTAGTATTGATGCTAAACTATACAAAGGGCATACAAAATAACAAATAATGAATTGGTAAGAATATGAAAATTACTTTATATATAAAATATATACTTGTATGTATATAAAATATGCATTATTGAAAAGAGTTAAGTGTACAAAAAGTGGGAGAAATATTTTATAATTATTATAAATAATACTTGTATGTGACTTAATATCGTCACACTTTACATTTAATATTTTAACATTCAACTAGAAATTGGATTGAATTTACTAAAACACACGATTGTTTAAGATATTTCAGTCTACGTGCAAATATTTAAACTAACTAGGTTTTTTTTATCAGTGTATGTGTGTATGTTCGACTCACCCGCAGCAGCGGACTGTCGCAGTTCAGGTCCATCACTCTCAAGACCGTGAAGAAGCGGTAGAAGGTGTTGTCGAACTTCCAGGGACGCACCAGAGTGACTTTCACTTCGTAGCGCACCCTGCCCCAACGACCCTCAAAGGACGAGGGACATGTGTCGGGGATCTGGCAGTTGAAATTGTACGTAATAGTGCCCGGCTCTATGGGGCGCTGTGCTGTAATTTGAATTCACATTCGTGATGAGATGGCAATGGCAGATGCGTTTCATTGGGATTTAACTCACAGGCGCTGGCATCGGAGCCCATGAGATATGTGAGCGAGGTTATGTAATCTTCACGGCCCAGATAGGTCGTCTGGCCAGATAGAGCCGAGCTCTGCGTCCAACGCGTCTCAGCGTGTCCATTTATGGTCAGAGAAATGGCTGCAGTTGGTGGATTGGAAAGCAAATCAAGCAACTGATTAGAATAAAGAATGGTTTACTTCACTTATCAACTGATTTCTGTGACATGGACATTATTTTTGATTGATTGATTGATTTATCCATTTATTATTAGTATTTTGTAGTGCGACAAGCAAGATTAAATTGTAATATAAATTAATGCGCTAGTCACAAAAATTGAATTACCTTAGATAATAGAATTAAAGGTGATTTGATTAGACTATTTCTATTAGATGCATTTTATTTCCATTAGATGCATTTTATTTCCATTAGATGCATTTTATATCTATTATAAATTGACTTTTCATTTCAATTAGTTTTTATTTGTTTATTCATAAATTGAAGCTGTTTCGTTTTTTTTTTTTCATTACAAGTATTTAACATGCATTGGTATCTGTGGGGATCGCCCTTGCCCCAAGCATAAGTATCTGAATAGCACCCTTTATGACTCATTGCAGACGGCTATCCCGATACGTTTATCGTGCAAATCAAGCATGACTCATGCCCAAAGGCTCTACTTGTATTTACCCTTTACATGTTTAACCTTGTTAGTTGTCAGTATCACACGGCCGCTCAGAGTCTGGCCCGCAAAGTAGGTGCCTCGCGGATTATCGTCGAACTCGATTTCACACGTCACTGTCATGGCTGTTCGGCCTTATAAACAAACAGTTTCTGAACTTAATTCGCCGCTCTTAGCCTTCTCCTGCTGTCAACATTTCAGCTGACTGGCTGCAAACGTACTGAGAGCGATAGAAACACTTTGTTTGGCATTTCCAATCCATTTGGCCAGTCCTTATCTTATCTGCTGGCATTTAACAAATGGCTCACTCGAACGAGGCAAGTACTGGCAGGAAGAGCGCAGTCTTCGAGACTTCGCTCTTTTTTCTATTCCGGAGGCATCATTGACATTGAGGGGAGGCCGCCACTACATTCCAATCCAAAAACTGAAATACTTAAGGTTGTCCCCCCATCAATCTTATCTTTTTCAGGTTAATTTTTTATTATTTATAATGATATGCCAACAACGTACTTATCTGTAGTTTCTATAAATGGAATAATCAGCAAATACATCACTTTTAGGCTCAACGTTAAATATTTGCAATGATATAACATTTTTATTTCGCATTGAAAATTATTTAATTTAATATAATGCTACAATGCAGTTATGCTTTAATGTTATTTAATCTTTTCAACACATTAATAATATCATTTAATTGCTTTTTATATTTTTTGTGTTTTCTTGAAAATACATAATTCTTTGAAATAATTGTTGCTTAAAAATGTCTTTACTAAGTTTTTGTTCTTTTTCTTTTGATTAATAGTTATATTTATCTTCAATCTACAATCGCCTGAAATCTTAATTATTTCCTAATTAAAAATTTTCTATAAACGTTTTTTTGTGCTATTAATTCTTTTTTATTTTGATTGTCTCGAAATTATTTAAGTTATTAAGTTTGCTTATCGACTTTTTTCTGAGAAACTAATATTCAAGAATATAAGCATGGAATTTAAAAACAAAAAATAAATAATTAAAAATAAAACTATTAACTAATAAAAGTATTTGCAATCAACAAACAATTACAAATATAGCACACAAAATATCTTAAATAGTATTATTTATAATCAAATCATCAATATATTAACATTTTTGCATTTCAAATCTACTTATATTGTTTATTTATAAATAAAAAATAAAACTATTTACTAATAAAAGTATTTGCAATCAACAAACAATTACAAATATAGCTCATAAAATATCTTAAATAGTATTATTTATAATCAAACCATCAATATATTAACATTTTGGCATTTCAAATCTACTTATATTGTTTATTTATAAATAAAAAATAAAACTATTTACTAATAAAAGTATTTGCAATCAACAAACAATTACAAATATAGCTCACAAAATATCTTAAATAGTATTATTTATAATCAAATCATCAATATATTAACATTTTTGCATTTCAAATCTACTTATATTATTTATTTTAAACTTATTTTTCCTTAGAAAGCACTGCTTGATTTACTTATCCCAGCAGTGCTTTATAGGACTGCAAAATTTATAAATAACTCCGAATAAAAACATAGAATTATTTAAATAGTATAGTAAATTCAACACCCCGGATAATTAATTGATTTACTCCGTATAGCACATATTAAGAATTTTATAGTAGCACTCGTGTATAAAATATAACAAATGACTGAGTATGCTGTAGTATGGCCGGTAAGGCAGTGTCTAACGCAAATGTCCTACACATATAACAGTTAACAGTTTTTATGCAAAGTAACGTCGTGCCATAAAAATTAGTGTTATATGTAGGACACAACAAAAAATAGAATATGTACTAAAGTCGCACAATTCACCACATTTCAAATATAACAGAAACAAACATTTCAAATATAACAGAATAAAGCAGTGTTGAACTAATTTGCCATCTGTATAGCAACAGTTTGTAAGATGCCGTTTGTATAGGCAATAATTTCCCAAATTGGAGTAAGTTTTCTAGGAAACCTGCTATATTTAAATAAGCAAGCTATAATTAATTAATTTAACATGTGTGTTTAGGAGTGCTGTTAAAAGAGTCTCGTATATGAAATGGCAGTCCATGGAGTGGCGAAAGGATACTTATGTGGTTAATCTATTTATTCATGAGCAATACGTATTTAAATCATAAGATATTTTGCGATTTCAAAGTTAAAAGAAATGACACTTTTTCTTGTTGTAAATTTGAAATTTAAAAAAATATACATATGCATTTGAAATATTAAAAATTAAATAAAATGCCTTTTGAAATTAAAACAATTTCTCAAATATACTACTTGTATAGACAAAAGGTAAGCGAAATTAGTTCTGTCGACACAAAATGCACTTCACAAATTCGTCTGTCTAGCGCTTAAGTGGATACAAAGATTCAATTTTAAATTGCCGGAAAATGTTTCGAATTTAAATGGAAATGTTCAAAGCTGGAAACCAAACACAATGTTAGTTTTATCGTTGCCCGCTTTAATCGACTTTTAATTGCGTCTAATGTTTTGCTAAGTATAAACAAAACTTTATAATCCTCACACGTGCCGCTCAAAGGCAACGCATCATGTGTGCCTGTGTGTGAGTGTGTGTGAGTGTTTGTGTGTGAGAGTGTTTGTTTGCGGCTGTGTGTGAGTTTGTTTGTGTGTGAATGTTTAGATTAAGTTTTAATCAGTTTGGCTACAAGCGAGATCCCAGCGAGTTAGCATAAACCAAACAACCGCAACAACCCACGACCAACATGTTTAGTTTTTAACGTTTACTCGCGCTTCACCCACCTCGTCACATCCCAATCAAAGGCCGTCCGCCCCACCACCCATCACCCAGCAGCCATCCTGCTTAACCAACTGGCGAACTGTTTGGTACGTTGCTGCCGCTGCCGCTGCCCGCCAATTCATTTGTTTGCTTGTTTGCTGGGCAATTCCCTCTCGACACTCGACGTCGACGTCGACGTCAGCGGCGTCTGTTGCGTCGTTGGTCATTCAAATACAGTCACAATTGCAAAAGTACTCTCGTGGATGCGTTAACCCACTGATGACAGGCACAGCGATATATTTTATTGTCCTGGAAGAGGAGTTACATCTAATCAGCAGTTTTTTTTTTTTTAATTTCACCAATATTTTAACCACTTATATACATATATTGTATTGATCCACCCAAAAGATACCAGTTGGCCTTCAAAAACAACGCCATAAAATTTATTATTTATTGTCACTTGCAAACTATATTATAGTATGTAAGTATGATGGCTGTAGCCCTGACCAACTGTCTTTGCTGTGCGTGCTTGCGTGTGTGTCGATCGAAAACTCCAGACGGGCTTTGGCGCCATCTTTTGCTGATCAAGCCTAACTAATTTGAATGAGTAGTTCGATATATGTTATGTACCAATCGATCTGCAGAACAACCGCTGCCGCGAAGCTTAAATAAAGCACTCATTGTTTTATGTTAAACAAATCCGCATTATTCAGTAGGGAATATACGAACTTTCCACACATTCATTGCGCAAATAAGCGTCAGAGAGCGCTGCAGAAGCTGCCAAATTACGTTCCGTTATGTAATGTTAGAGCAATGTGGTGATGCCAAAGCAAACAATAATTAATTATGTATTTACATTACATACATATGTGACAAGCAATATAATTTTAGGGCAAATAATAATTAGTTTCGGATGACAACACATACCAGTATCTTAATGAAGTATCACTTTTAAATGAAAGACTTAAAAAGCTGTTTTAATTAAAAACGGAGCATAAATAAGAGACGTTAATATTAATATACATTTGTATATCCTGTAGCCAAAGAGTAAATGGGGATACGAGTTCAGTGCGATTTTATTTAAAACACGGAAGGATGCGCGGCGGACACCCAAAAGTATATTCTTGATCAGTATTATAAGACGAGTTAATATACATAGTAGCTATGCCCTTCTGCCTGTTCGTTTGTATAAGCGCAAGGATCTCGACAGGTATAAGAAGTATAAGAGCTAGAATAAGAAAGCTTGCTTAAAAATATTCTAATAATTAATTAAAAATATATTTTTAAAATTAATTGTTTGGTATTTTTCCTTTCTTTATTTAATTTACATTAAAAAATAAATTAAATTTGTGTTGTTGCGAAAAATAGGGGAAACTCTTTATTACTTGCATTGGAACATTTGCAATTTTTTAATAAAAAATGTTCTCAAATAGTTTTTTGTAGTTTTGTATTTTTTTTTTTTAAGTTTTTTTTTATTTTTGAAAAAATAAACAGATAACATTTGATTTCGAGAATGTGATTGAATGCTGTAATTAAGTATAGTTCTTATTTGTTAAAACTGGTTCCAAGCTTTAAACTTTTCAACATTGCTCGACTATATTTTTCAAATACTATATCATTTCGTTCGATCGACATTAGAATGTGGCTTTAATGGGTTAAGTGCGAATGCAAATGCCGACAGTCCTGCGAGTCCATTTCGCTGCAAACCGTTTCGCAACTTGTAATCAGTTTGATGCGATTAAAGTCGAACGCTTGTTGCGAGACCACGAGCTGCCGCTTTTCGATATGAAATGAATTCGCAAAAAGCTGAAAATTTCCCCGAGAGGCTTGTATGTATGTGTGCGCGTGTGTCTGTGGTTCTAATCAGAATGGCAGTTGCCTGTTACGATTATGTTAATGCAGGAATATGAGAAGCTCAAATTGTTCAGCTAATGACTGCATTATTTGTTTTGGACTATTGGAATTCATTTTCCGCCACACACACACACACACACACACACACGCACACCCAAATGCGATATTAGTTTTCAATTTTCTGGCAGCTCTTTCATTGTAAGTTGGCAATGCAATGATGAGAAATTGTATTGAAAAGTTAAGCAATTAAACGGTTCCATTTGCTTGATTCAATTGTTCGCTTCAAAGCTAATTCAATTGATAAAATGTTTATCTCCATCAAGAACAACAGACGAGCGGACAAGTCCAGATGGCCTAGTGCTGACGACAGACTAATTACTAAAACCTTTTGTACTAACTTTGTGTTTGTATGTCCATTATTGCAATGTGTCTCTAGGCGTATGTGTGCTGTCCATTCTATGATTAATTACAGTATTTTATGAGTTGTGGCTTCGATTGTCTGGCAGC